GTTAGTCTATGGGAAGATGTGCCACATTAGGCATGCCAGAATCCTATAATTGTGGTTTGAATCCAAGATGTGCTGTGACAGATTATAGTATGTCAGAGCCACTCTTGTTTGTGGGTGAGTTTAGTTTTACGCCGCTTTAGGCAATATTCCAACAGTATCACGGAGGGGGACACTAGAAATGGGCTTCACACATTGTACCCATGTTTGGAATCTAAGCCGAGACGAGCGAACGCTTGAACCACTAGGCTACCCGACTGTCCCTCTTGTTTGTGGGTTTCACCAAAGTGGTGAACCTTTAAGACCTCTCTTTTTAACTCTGTACCTCACCTCACCTCAAGACCGCCTCCGTGGTCTAGTGGTAGAGCTTCCGCCCGGAGAGCGGAAGGTCCGGGGTTCGATCCCCAGCCGCGTCATACTAAAAGACGTTAAAAGATGGTACTTGTTATTACCCTGTCTGGCGCTCGGCAGTAAGGGATTAAACAAGGTCTGGTCGGCTCGGAGTCAGTAAACCATGTCTGAGTTTGGTATTCCATGTTAAACTGCTGCATGGTATCTCAGTGAGCTAGCACTATAAATCGGCATCAGTCTGGACTAGTACAAGCAGCCACACAAACACACACACGTACATGCACGTTGCTATACAAGTGCAATAATCTTGGACACAACGTTAAACCCCATTTCACCTCACCTCACCTCACCTCACCTCACCTCACCTCACCTCACCTCACCTCACACAACTAACTACCCCCTATATAAGTGTACATATAGTGAGCTACAGTACCCAGGAGCTACTCTATCACACATTTGATGTTCCAGATAATACTTCTATGACAAGGCTGTAGTATATAAGTAGATTATCCCATGTTGTCCGACCCCAGGGGGACACCTTCACTCCGGAACCCCAGATAGCCAGGGGTTGATCAGCTGCAACCACTGCTGGAACCCCAGATAGCCAGGGGTTTATCAGCTGCAACCACTGCTGGAACCCCAGATAGCCAGGGGTTCATCAGCTGCAACCACTGCTGGAACCCCAGATAGCCAGGGGTTCATCAGCTGCAACCACTGCTGGAACCCCAGATAGCCAGGGGTTTATCAGCTGCAACCACTGCTGGAACCCCAGATAGCCAGGGGTTTATCAGCTGTAACCACTGCTGGAACCCCAGATAGCCAGGGGTTTATCAGCTGCAACCACTGCTGGAACCCCAGATAGCCAGGGGTTTATCAGCTGCAACCACTGCTGGAACCCCAGATAGCCAGGGGTTTATCAGCTGCAACCACTGCTGGAACCCCAGATAGCCAGGGGTTTATCAGCTGCAACCACTGCTGGAACCCCAGATAGCCAGGGGTTGATCAGCTGCAACCACTGCTGGAGCCCCAGATAGCCAGGGGTTGATCAGCTGCAACCACTGCTGGAACCCCAGATAGCCAGGGGTTGATCAGCTGCAACCACTGCTGGAACCCCCGATAGCCAGGGGTTTATCAGCTGCAACCACTGCTGGAACCCCAGAAAGCCAGGGGTTGATCAGCTGCAACCACTGCTGGAACCCCAGATAGCCAGGGGTTTATCAGCTGCAACCACTGCTGGAACCCCAGATAGCCAGGGGTTGATCAGCTGCAACCACTGCTGGAACCCCATATAGCCAGGGGTTGATCAGCTGCAACCACTGCTGGAACCCCAGATAGCCAGGGGTTTATCAGTTGCAACCACTGCTGGAACCCCAGATAGCCAGGGGTTGATCAGCTGCAACCACTGCTGGAACCCCAGATAGCCAGGGGTTTATCAGCTGTAACCACTGCTGGAACCCCAGATAGCCAGGGGTTTATCAGCTGCAACCACTGCTGGAACCCCAGATAGCCAGGGGTTTATCAGTTGCAACCACTGCTGGAACCCCAGATAGCCAGGGGTTGATCAGCTGCAACCACTGCTGGAACCCCAGATAGCCAGGGGTTTATCAGCTGTAACCACTGCTGGAACCCCAGATAGCCAGGGGTTTATCAGCTGTAACCACTGCTGGAACCCCAGATAGCCAGGGGTTGATCAGCTGCAACCACTGCTGGAACCCCATATAGCCAGGGGTTGATCAGCTGCAACCACTGCTGGAACCCCAGATAGCCAGGGGTTCATCAGCTGTAACCACTGCTGGAACCCCAGATAGCCAGGGGTTTATCAGCTGTAACCACTGCTGGAACCCCAGATAGCCAGGGGTTGATCAGCTGCAACCACTGCTGGAACCCCAGATAGCCAGGGGTTGATCAGCTGCAACCACTGCTGGAACCCCAGATAGCCAGGGGTTGATCAGCTGCAACCACTGCTGGAACCCCAGATAGCCAGGGGTTGATCAGCTGCAACCACTGCTGGAACCCCAGATAGCCAGGGGTTGATCAGCTGCAACCACTGCTGGAACCCCAGATAGCCAGGGGTTGATCAGCTGCAACCACTGCTGGAACCCCAGATAGCCAGGGGTTGATCAGCTGCAACCACTGCTCCGATGTAGCTGTGTGTTGATAAGGAACCACACACTGCTATGCTGATTATCATGCAGGACTTACCCACAAATGACTCTGTCTTGGGCTTGTGTTTCTTCTCCTGTGGTTCCTCCGATAGGATGACCTATGGGATTACTCCGTCATGTGTCGTGGGGAGATAAGGAAGCTTCCAGTGACAGTTTACAGTTACGTATGTCAGGTGAAGGGATGGACGGAATGTCTTGATCTTTTTATGAATATTTCATTGGGTAGTTTAAGTGCAAATACAAGTCTTGAATTTTATGAATATTGAATAAGGTTGGGTTCTGTTGTCTGGCGCTTAAGCAATGTGAAGATACTTTATCTCTTTCTACTCTTTTCGAAATATTTCCCCCAAAATATTCCATTTGAGAAAGGACATAGGGGGAGATTATTAATATCATATAATCAATAACTTAATATTATTTCCAGAGATCGAGCATTGGTGACAGTTAAAATATCATAGTTACTTGGCAGATTATATACCTCTCCGCTTATTAAGATTACTTACAAATTATTGGAGGAAGTTGCTCAATATGGCAATGGTGTGTATAATATATGAAAATCAGTAGTCTTAGTCCTTATTATTTTCATGATCATACAGTTTGAGAGACTTTGTAGCTTAATCACGGGAAAATTGAATGCATGTAATGTACATGTCAGTGAGACAGTTGTCATTGCAATACAATTTTATAGAATTTTTCTGATAAATCACAGAAATTTCATGCACGTACTGTTTATACTTCTGTATGGGATTCCAGAGTGAAATAGGTCCTCAGTACATTATGATTATCATAACAGGCTGATGGCTTCGGCCAATTGTGCACAAGCCCATTCAGTGACTGAGTTTGGTTTTACGCCGCTTTTAGCAATATTCCAGCAATATCACGGCGGGGGACACCAGAAATGGGCTTCACACATTGTACCCATGTTGGACACATCCAACTGGTATAACCCAGTAAATCCTGGACACCCTGCTACTGACACATCTAACTCGTATAACCCAGTAAATCCTGGACACCCTGCCACTGACACATCTAACTCGTATAACCAACCCAGTAAATCCTGGACACCCTGCTCCTGACACATCTAACTCGTATAACCCAGTAAATCCTGGACACCCTGCTACTGACACATCTAACTCATATAACCCAGTAAATCCTGGACACCCTGCTACTGACACATATAACTGGTATAACCCAGTAAATCCTGGACACCCTGCTCCTGACACATCTAACTCGTATAACCCAGTGAATCCTGCACACCCTGCTCCTGACACATCTAACTCGTATAACCCAGTAAATCCTGGACACCCTGCTACTGACACATCTAACTGGTATAACCCAGTAAATCCTGGACACCCTGCTCTTGACACATCTAACTCGTATAACCCAGTAAATCCTGGACACCCTGCTTCTGACACATTTAACTCGTATAACCCAGTAAATTCTGGACACCCTGCTCCTGACGCATCTAACTCGTATAACCCAGTAAATCCTGGACACCCTGCTACTGACACATCTTACTCGTATAACCCAGTAAATCCTGGACACCCTGCTACTGACACATCTAACCCTTATAACCCAGTAAATCCTGGACACCCTGCTACTGACACATCTAACTTGTATAACCCAGTAAATCCTGGACACCCTGCTACTGACACATCTAACTCGTATAACCCAGTAAATCCTGGACACCCTGCTACTGACACATTTAACTCGTATAACCCAGTAAATCCTGGACACCCGTTACCGACACATCTAACTCTTATAACCCAGTAAATCCTGGACACCCTGCTGACACATCTAACTCTTATAACCCAGTAAATCCTGGACACCCTGCTCCTGACACATCTAACTCGTATAACCCAGTAAATCCTGGACACCCTGCTACTGACACATCTAACTCGTATAACCCAGTAAATCCTGGACACCCTGCTACTGACACATCTAACTTGTATAACCCAGTAAATCCTGGACACCCTGCTTCTGATACATCTAACTGGTATAACCCAGTAAATCCTGGACACCCTGCTACTGACACATCTAACCCTTATAACCCAGTAAATCCTGGACACCCTGCTACTGACACATCTAACTCGTATAACCCACTGCCTGAAGGGTCTTCTTTTGACGGAAGGAGCTCAAACGTTTAATATTGTTCTTATCTTTATCTATCAAACTGTTTTCTGACCTAAGATAGGTGTGGCCATTAGTATAAGGGGAATAAACAATAATACGGTCTACATGTTTCAGTGTTGTTACATTTGTAAAAAGTTGATTTTCTAAATTAATATGATTTATGTGAATACCCTACCTCTATTACATCATAGCCATAAATTCCTGTATACACTACAATCTTTAATAAATTTTCAACATGTCCTCTTCACCACCTTAGTTTAAATTTAGTTAATGGATTCTATTTTAGTTTTTTATAAAGTAAGATTCATGGTGGTATTCTGGTTGTATAATGCCGATGTTCCATGACTGTTCCAGATTATGGCAAAGAGATGATCAGTGAGTCTGAGATGCCGAAGACCCTGGTCACTGTCCTGGCCTCCAAGGAGGGAGAAAGTCACCAGGACACCATCTTGGACCTCCTCATCTCACTGGCTGATAGTGGTAAGTCTCAGGACATATTGTAGATCTCCTCATCTCACTGGCTGATAGTGGTAAGTCTCAGGACATATTGTAGATCTCATCTCACTGGCTGATAGTGGTAAGTCTCAGGACATATTGTAGATCTCCTCATCTCACTGGCTGATAGTGGTAAGTCTCAGGACATATTGTAGATCTCCTCATCTTACTGGCTGATGGTGGTAAGTCTCAGGACATATTGTAGATCTCCTCATCTCACTGGCTGATGGTGGTAAGTCTCAGGACATATTGTAGATCTCCTCATCTCACTGGCTGATAGTGGTAAGTCTCGGGACATATTGTAGATCTCCTCATCTCACTGGCTGATAGTGGTAAGTCTCAGGACATATTGTAGATCTCCTCATCTCACTGGCTGATAGTGGTAAGTCTCGGGACATATTGTAGATCTCCTCATCTCACTGGCTGATAGTGGTAAGTCTCAGGACATATTGTAGATCTCATCTCACTGGCTGATAGTGGTAAGTCTCAGGACATATTGTAGATCTCCTCATCTCACTGGCTGATAGTGGTAAGTCTCAGGACATATTGTAGATCTCCTCATCTCACTGGCTGATAGTGGTAAGTCTCGGGACATATTGTAGATCTCCTCATCTCACTGGCTGATAGTGGTAAGTCTCAGGACATATTGTAGATCTCCTCATCTCACTGGCTGATGGTGGTAAGTCTCAGGACATATTGTAGATCTCATCTCACTGGCTGATAGTGGTAAGTCTCAGGACATATTGAAGATCTCCTCATCTCACTGAATGATAGTGGTAAGTCTCAGGACATATTGTAGATCTCCTCATCTCACTGGCTGATGGTGGTAAGTCTCAGGACATATTGTAGATCTCATCTCACTGGCTGATAGTGGTAAGTCTCAGGACATATTGAAGATCTCCTCATCTCACTGAATGATAGTGGTGAGTCTCAGGACATATTGTAGATCTCATCTCACTGACTGATAGTGGTAAGTCTCAGGACATATCCTAGATGTTATTAATTCACTTGGTGATCATTTGCTGATACATATTGGGTCTCCTCAACTCACTAGCTCATGTGTGCAGGTCTGAAGACCTTCTCATCTCACTGTTATATTGATGTCATTGTAGATTGGGTAGACACAATTTTATGGATAACAACTTCTTTAATACTGTGAAAAGCAATGTCTCAGTAAAGATCCTTATATCATTGTCAAGCTAAGGATCTATACCAAAACATGCTTTTCACAGTATTAAAGAAGTTGTTATCCATAAAATTGTGTCTACCTTGTCATCCGTCAACTTCTAAGTAATGCCTATCAAACAATTCATTGTAGATTGTATACGTAAACTGATGCTTATAGACAATAATAGAATAATCTCCCTCCCCTGCAGATAAGATCAAGGACACCCTAGCAGACACCAGCCTCAGCAACCACCTGATCAAGATCATCCAATGTAACACTGGGCGATCTGATGACGACAGTCTGCAGTGTGTCAAGATGGCATCCGACCTCCTGGTGTCCCTTCTGGTCGGAGGTAATGCTCCACTAACAAAAGCTGGCATCTCCCTGTCAGCGGCAAATCGTTGAGTGTCTTGGGCCAAAAAAATATTGTGCCATATTGTACGAACATCTTTGAGAAAACAAAACCTAAAATACATGTTTCCTATGCAAAGAAACTAATCAATACAGTACCAATACATCTATTACTCTGAAAGATTTGGTCCCAAATGTGATATTTTATTGCTCTTCTTAAAGTTTAGAAAATAACATTTCAAACTCTTTTCTTGTTAGTTTCAAAGAGTATCATTATGTTTTCGATGTGGTATCACATTTGCTGACTTATGTATTCAATGTTTCAATACATACCACTTAAAACAGTCTGTTCCAGTTTTAGGTCCTAAATTTGCAGCTGGATCACTCAAATAATATTATGCAAAAAACTTTGAACTTTGTTACTTATTAAAATAAAAGACAATTTGTCAATAAGTGATACCAGGAAGAGAAGTAAAGTATTTTTTGTTTGATGTTTAAGATTGAAAAATTACTAATAATTTTAATAAAAATTTCATTTACATTTTGCTCTGAGTTTTGGGTACACTGTAGATCTCAAGAGATAAGTACAAAATGTCCGATTGGGAAAAGTTTGAGTGTAGCCCTGGACAAAATGTATTTAGATACACTTATAAAACAATCTGATCATGTATACACTGAAATTGACTGAAGTTTTATCTTTATTCAAACATATAAAAGTCAGAGGGAATGGGTGCATAGTCAGAAAGAATTGCAAACGTTAGTGACTTGTAGTGTAACCATATGGTTCTAGATCATTTTTGTCATTAAACAATATATCACGTGACTGACCACGTGTCAGGATAGTCCTGTGGGTACCAGGGTCGCTCTCAGTACCCATTCCGAGTACCTGAGTTACCTGTCCCAGCCCTAGTACACTGTTACTAACATAGTAATATATACGGCGAAACTGCATTATCAGTGGTTCATATTGGGAAAGGGAGGTCACTCTAATTTCAAACGGGAGCTTTCTCCGTTGTTTTCGTATTTGCAAGAAATGGCGTCACCCATGCTGTACGTTGTTGGTCCAGCTATTAAATGCTCAGCTTATCCCTAAGGTAAAACGTATTCTAAATTAAATGTTTGAATGCATTTTATATTTATGTTTCCATCCGTACATATTCTAAGATTGGTTTAGTGCTGATATCCATTTATTAAAATGTGGGCCCACATTTTTCTCGTCATCTATGGTGATCGAAACAAGTGGGCCCACATTTGTATATCGCCTAGCTTCGTTAGGTTGTTTCGTTAGCTCTGGTAATCAATTCCTAAATGTGGGCAGACGTTCTTCCGTCATATTGATTGCAACAGGAGGGACCAAATTTATTAATCATGAAACCGATAGGATTAGGTAGGTAGATGTGACTGTTAACCTTCTAAGCAGTTTGGATTGTATACTCCTCAGGGAGCTGAGAGTGAAAATTAAGTGCGCACATTGCCCTGGGTAATAATGAAGCATGCTATAGGCTGTTGGCGACAAAAATAGATATGACCAACCACTGAAACCCGAGTTAGTAGTTGCAATGAGAATATTTACTCTAATGCATGCCAGGACATTCTATGAAAGAACTCAAAGCTACCTTGGAAATCATCAAAGTTAATTTTCTGCAGAAATAATTAACGATGCCTATTTTGTTTTTGTTTTAGTCACATTGCAACTGAACAAAGATGGTTACTTGGTCTATGTAATATATTGTGGCTGTATCAGCACTTTATTTGAGAGTTGGCTCAAGTTGATATTGTTTTAAAGGTACTGGAGCTTTTAGCATGCATCCTGCTGTACACATATTGGATGTTTCAGACAAGACCGCTCTGTTGATCATAAGGGGGCCCAGTCGTCTAAGGCGCCGCGATTCGCTGTGCAGAGTTGCGACCCTTGGGCACGCCAGAAACCTATGATTGTGGGTTCAAATCCCAGTTCGTCCCGATTATGTTTCTAGGTTTGTCAGCACCATACCCGTGCTCGTTGGTTTCACCGAAGTGGTAAACGTCTGAGACCTGCCCACATTAAGCTGACACGCCGTGATATAACTGGAATGAAGTTATAAGCAGCGTTAAACCCAACTCACTCCCTGTTGATCATAAGAGCAATGGGAGGTCAGCGCTATCATATGGTTGGAATATAGCTGTGTCAATGTTTCAGACAAGAGCATGGAGCAGTTGTTTGGAGGAGGGGAGGGGCCGGTGTTCATGGAGTCGGTCAAGTGGTTGGAGGGGGACACAGACACGCTCAAGGTCTCCGGGGCGCTTGCTATAGGCAACTTTGCCAGGAGTGGTAAGATCAATATGGACACTTCAAGGATGAAATCTATCAAAATTTGTTTGGATTTTTTATGATGTTCCTTAATCCAAACAGATATCTATCTTTACATCAGATAGTGGGAATTTAAGCAAATGGTCCTTGTTCTGCAAAGTTAAAGTTTTCAGAGCCTGGTATCTTCAATTGGATATCCATATTGTGGAGTTATTACCATATATATGATCATGGCATTTACATTTGTATAAACCCTCTGAATGGAGATTGGTAGTTCCACTCAAATGCCCACGGAAATGACATTGTTGCATTGAGCCCTAGCACCTTTGTACGAATGAGGTAACTATGGTCAAGGGGAGATAATTAGGAACTGTTTAGTAGGTTGTCTCCCTTACACTATTGCTGTTGTTTCTAGATGAGCACTGCCACCTACTGGTGGAGGATGGTGTGATGGACAAACTGTTGGAGCTGGTGCGTCAGGAGGCCGCCGACACCAAGGAACACAACATCACGCTGCAACATGCCGTCCTCAGTGCACTGCGCAACCTCGCCATTCCAGGTACACCCGCCTTTCAGACCCTGCTACAATAAATTTAATTACTTCCCATTAATGGACGGGATCGGGTGGTCTGGCTCGCTGACTTGGTTGATGCATGTCTTCAATCCCAATTACATGGATCGATGCTCATGATATTAATCACTGGATTGTCTGGTCCAGACTCGATTATTTACAGACCGCCGTCATATAGCTGGAATATTGCTGAGTGCGGCGTAAAACAACCAACCAACCAACCAACCATTAATGGAAGCTCAAACTCCTCTCTGGACTGCTAAGAATGTCTTGTTCAACAATGATAATATGTTGACAATGCTAATTTATTGCAGATAGGCTTTCAACAGCAACAGGACATTATGTTCACAAAATCCCATGTAGTTTGTACTACCTGATTCACCAGCGTGTTTGAGCAAGTTGTCCCGAAACAAACCAGAAACAACTATTTTCTTATATTCCTATAAAATGTCACAAGTAATAATGTATATTACATACTCGCACGCACACTCACATGCCCGCAGTAATTTTAACCTCATATATACACATTAGTACCATTTATCAATACCATTCATAGAACTATGTACATAATAATTAAACTCCTACAAGACTTATTGTACTGAAATACTACTGTTAAAAATATCACTGACAGTTACAGCTGTAAGCTATAAACTATTGACAGAGATAAAGTATTTCAAACAGCAACAGTTATAAGCTTTGAATTATATAAATTACTGAAAACACCGTATAACGATATGGTAGTTAGGGCTGGGACGAGTCCAATTTTACTTCCCGGGTACCCACACCCCTATTACCCGACCCTACCAGGGTACCCGCTGTTGGTGTCAAGAGATAGGTACAAAATGTCCGATTGGGAATAGTTTGACAGTAGCCCTGGCAGAATGTATTTAGAGACACGTATAAAACGATGTGGTCATGCATACACTGAAGTTGACTAACGTTTTAGCTTTGTTGAAACATATATAAGTCAGAAGGAATGTGTACATAGTCATGAAGAAATGCAAACATTAGAGAATTAACATTGTCGTGTAACCATGTAGTTATATTGTGAATTTTTGTCATGAAACAATTTATCACGTGACTAACCACAGGTCCGGGTAGTCCCATGGGTACCCGGGTCCTATTCAGTACCTACCCTACCTGAATTACCTGTCCCAGCCCTAATGGTAGTGTAGCTTCTATAAACTTTCCGAGTTCCGTGATGGGATTCGAACCACGGATCTTATGGCCCGAGGTTGAACACCTTGTCCACTTGTCCAAAGAGCTGAACCCCATCAGCAAGTTGACAAGGTATGGATGTCATCTGTAGCATGACTCCACACCCTGCTACACAGTCCACCCGTCAACAGAAGGCACGTCCTGGGCCGCAAAGTAGGGTACTGAGACTTATATTGCTCAAAATAAATATAAACATGCTCAGCCCCACACTGAGCACCAATTTAGCGGCCATAAAATGTCTATGGCACGTAATGGGATTCAAACCACAGACCTTCTGATCCGAGTTCAGACGCTTTGTCTACATGACCAACGAGGTTAACCCCATCAGCAAGCTGACAAGGTGAGTATGTCATCTGTGGGATGACTTCACACCCTGCTACAGAAGCTTAACACTCTAATTAAATTAAATTCTACTGTTTACTTAATCTTTGCCAATCACAATACATACTAATGTATCATGACAATGTTAAATATACAAGAGATTTACAACATTGCATATTATGTAGATATTCAGATTATACTTAATTACAGATATACAATTAAAATGATAAAATCATAGTTAACAGGACTAACATATCAGATCCTAAGCTCCTTATGATAAATATCAATACTAAAGAAATCTCAATCAACTTACTCCAATCAGTGCAGTGCTGTGAATCATGCAGTTGAGATGCAGCAGTGACAAGAGAAGAGAATGTTGAAGTGTTTGAGTCTAAAGATCTGGTCACATGCGACAGAAACAATAGAAGGGCACTCACAGACCAAGCTGTGGCTGGACCAGGGAACTAAAGACAAAGAAATACAAGATAGATAGATCGGGAGATTACTTCTGCCCACACATCTCTTTCTAGTTCCATAATACATTCTATTGGACTTCCACCAAGTAAAAACGCAAGAATATCATCATCATCTTTCTCCCAGATCTTAACAAAAACATGTACATCCAGGATATCACATATGGTGTTAAAAAGTAAATTTCAGTCATTCATATTGATCGTGCAAGATATAAACATGTGCTTTACAATATCATTGGCAAAGGTTTTACAACAGCATCCTCTAGAGACAATTTCAGCTGATCCATAGAATACAAGAACCCCATGCTAACTTACGTAACTACTTTACCTAGGGATTAGTGGAGTGGGCTCTGGGTAGTTTAAGGAGCCTCTACTGCACTTAACTAAATTATTTACCCAAGTTTAAAATACAAGAATTAAAAAACACTGTATTTACATTCTGCTACATATAATGAGCTTATGTTGTGGCACATCGTCTGTCGTCCATCTGGATGTCTGTCAAAAACTTTTACATGTATCCTGTGAAACTAAAAGGCAAAGCTGAAACTTTGTATGGTTGATCCAAGCAATGATGTTGCTAAACTTTGCTCCTGGAATTCTGATCTGATTTTGAACATGATCGTCATTATTTCTTCAGAATTGAGGTGAGCCTTGTGGTTCTATTTGTCTGGATGTGTTATCCTCAGCTGATTGTATTCCAGCCCCCAACAAGCCTCGGATGCTGAAGGCTGGTGTGCTGGATGTAGTGTTGAAGCTGTCTCAGACGGAAGTGATGGCCGTCGCCTTCAAACTCCTCGGACTCATTCGGATGCTGATTGATTCACAGGGTCAGACATTGCACGTTTCTTGTCTCCATTTGTTGAACCTCAGACCTTACCAAAGTGAAACAAAATGTCATTTAAACCACAGTCAACAGGTTTGTTTGTTTGTTGTTTAACGCGTCACTCAGCAATATTCCAGCTACATAATGGCAGTCTGTAAATCATCAAGTCTGGACCAGACAATCCAGTGATTGATACATGAGCATCAATCCAAGCAATTGGGATACGATGACATGCATCAACCAAGTCAGCGGGCCTGACCACCCGATCCCGTTAGTCGCGTCTTACAACAAGCATAGTCACCTTTTACGGCAAGTATGGGTTGCACAGTCAACAAGAGGGTGCTGACATGCAGTAGCTGAGTGGTTAAGGCATTCGCTCGTGATGTGGAAGGTCTAGGTTTGATTCCACCGTTGGTGTCACCGACTGTGACATAACTGGGATATTATACCTGGAAGGAAAGGTTGTCATAAAAACAGCATGCACTGATATTGTTCAAACAACACCAAGCTAGGAAGCTTCTTCATGCAATTGGCAAGAGATTGCTTCAGGATACAATGGGTATTTTCGGGAATTGGATCATGGCATTCTTATCGTGGCATGTTTGATGATGATTTGTCATAGACAGAACAGACCACTAGATTGTTTACAGTATGATGCATTTTGAAAATGTGTGAAATATGTAATCAATATATTTCTTCTTTTTAGAGGCGGCATCAAAGTCACTTGGCTGTGACCGAGATTTTCTGATGAAACTAGTCGAGTGGTGTGGAGTTGAAGGTCATGCAGGGGTCACAGGTCTGATTCCTGCTTGTTTATCTTTTCTGAGTTAATGAGACACATTTTGAAGGGGAAATATTTTGTCTTCGCAAGTTTGATTCAAGTCATTTGAAAAGTAAACTCACTTTCTCCATTTTTCACATGATACTACTTATGGCTTCCACTAAAAGTAGAAAGTCTCTCATTCCTGGTAGGGCGTTGTTTTACCCTAGTGGTTAAAGCTTTGTTTGTTTGTTTGATGTTTAAAGCCGCACTCAGCAATATTCCAGCTGTATGACGGCAGTCTGTAAATAATCAAGTCTGGACCAGACAATCCAGTGATTGACATAATAAGTATCGATCTACACAATTGGGATACGATGACATGCATCAAACCAAGTCAGCGAGCCTGATACCGTTAGTGGCCCAATACGACAAGCATAGTCGCCTCGTAGGGCAAGCATGGGTTGTTAATGTCCTATTCTACCCAGGATCTTCACAGGTCAGTAGTTACAGCATTCGCTTTACATGGGTACAATCTGTGAAGCCCATTTCTGGTGTCCCTGTCATGATTTTTCCGGAATATTGTTAAAAGTGACATAAAACCGTACTCACTCACTCACTCATTCCTGGTATATGGTGTGTTTCAAGGGGAGGCAACTCGACTCTTGGCTTGGCTCATCAAACACAGCAAGTCAAGTGATGTGATGAAGAACATAATAAAGAATGATGGTATACAGTATCTCGTCAGCATGGCAACCTCCGAGCATGTCGTGATGCAGAACGAGGCCCTGTTCTCCCTCACACTCATCTGTTCAACTGTATTAGGTATGATTGTAAGACATATTTATGGTGCTTAGACAAAATAAAGGCATGACGGGTAATATCAGGTCTCTGCTGTGCAGAGTTGCTTCCCTTAGCCATTCAAGGATCAAGTGATTGTGGAACTAAAACCTACTTTTGCCTTGATAATGATTCCTTGTTGGTATCAGACCACTGCTTGTTGGTTTCACCAAAATGTTAAATATCCTCAAGCAGTGTTACTTTCCACCCACATTATATTAAAATATGACAGAAATACTTTATTCTTAACTTGCCATTTCCTGTCCACTCAGCGTCTGGCATAGACTTCTCTTCAGAAACCCATTTAACCAATGAAGCTGAAACATCACATACTTGTTCCCACCAATGATGACACCCCAATGTGTTTTTTCGATTTGATTTCCAATATGGCTGCCATGTCTTGTGCCATTCGTCACCACTCGCCCCTTTCCGTAACCTGCAAGAAGACTCATCCCCCTATGGATGAATGTTATGTGCGAAAATACGACAAACCAATCAGAATGCGCGTGTGATTTCAAGTTCTTCGTCAAAGAATCCCTCAGAAATAATTTTCGATTTTACATATGTCTTGCATCTAAAAATATACCCAAGACACAGTTAAATGTGTTCAATCATACTGTATAATTCCGCATGTCCCGATGTGCTTTAAATTGCATCTGAAATATATATAATATATGGGGAAATATATGTGAACCATTACGCAACGAGTTGACAATTGTTTTAGGTATGCCCGTTTGCGCTCAGACGGAACCCGGTGGCAAAAATGGCCATGAGAGGGGCACGAGTCGCTATTTGGCTTGTCCCGGAATAACACGAGTTGGTCACGAATGGTCTTGTGCTTGTTTCCATCAATGATGACATCTCAATTTGTTCAAGGGGTTTTGCTATTTCATAAATTTTGACCTTGGTTTGACCTTTGCACTTAAACCATACTGAAAGCGATGTCTTAAGTTTTGACCTTTTTTTTACCTTTGCACTCTGACCATGCTCCTAAAGTCTCTCAAAAATGCATATTTATCATTTTAGGTGTTATCGCCACTTGATGAACACATACATTCAAATCACAAGTTCATGGATATTCAGCATCGGGTGCATGTCATTTGGGTGACATTTAAACTGTTAATGATTTTCAAGGAGTATGTTGTTCCAGTATATCGTATCAAGGTAGTGTTCAGCTCCTTTCCTAATTCTAATCCTTTCCCCCAATCTTCTCTCCAGGAGATGCAGCAGTGCCCCTGAAGGAAGCCGACCTGGCCACCACCATCACCACCCTGCTGAAGAACCCTGCCACCATCCCTGAGATCCTGTGTAACACACTCAGCCTCACCAGGTCCATCTGTACAGCAGGTTAGTGCACACTCTCAGTCTCACCAGGTGGGAACACACTCTCAGTCTCACCAGGTGGGTACACACTTTCAGTCTCACCAGGTGGGTACACACTCTCTGTCTCACCAGGTGGGTACACACTCTCTGTCTCAGCAGGTGGGTACACACTCTCAGTCTCACCAGGTGGGTACACACGCTGAGTCTCACCAGGCTGGTACACACTCAGTCTCACCAGGTGGGTACACACTCTCAGTCTCACCAGGTGGGTACACACTCTTAGTCTCACCAGGTGGGTACACACTCTGACTCACCAGATGGGTGCACACTTTCAGCCTCACCAGGTGGGTACACACGCTGAGTCTCACAAGGTTAGTGCACACTCTTAGTCTCACCAGGTGGGTACACACTCTGACTCACCAGATGGGTGCACACTTTCAGTCTCACCAGGTGGGTACACACTCTCAGTCTCACCAGGTGGGTACACACTCTCAGTCTCACCAGGCTGGTACACACTCTCAGTCTCACCAGGTGGGTACACACTCTCAGTCTCACCAGGTGGGTACACACTCTCAGTCTCACCAGTTAGGTACACACTCTCAGTCTCACCAGGTGGGTACACACTCTCAGTCTCACCAGGTAGGTACACACAAATCCTCACACTTCACCTTTTTTAGCTCTCTGAAAGTCAAGTGAGCTCATATGTCATGGCCTGTTTGATCAGCATAGACATCTTCATCTCAAGAACCAGTGGACCAATGATACTGAAATTTTCACATGCTTGTTCTCATCAGTGATGTCACCCTAATTTGTTCAAGAGATTCAAATCTGATTGTCAATATGTCCATCATGGCAGCCATTTTGAAAAACGTCTTTATGGCCATTTCTCAGCCATTGTTGCTCAAAATATGATGAAATTTGGTACATTTGTAGTAGTAGTAGTGGCTACAGTCGTAATGAAGAGATTTTGAAGATTTTGCATTATGGCAGGGAATTAATTTATAAACAGCAAAACCTATTGATGCAAATTCCTTGAAACCATCAAAAATATATTGTAATGTTTGAAGCAGAGCCCTGATACCAGACCATAAAGTGCTGACGAGAATTCTTCGTGCACAGTAAACTAGTATTGTCTTAAACGGTATATTGCTATATTCAAGTTAAGACATTTCACTGTACATGTATGGTAAGTAATGATATGTTTAGGCTGAAGTAACTTTGCATCAAAGAGAGAATGGTGGTCTGTTTATCAAAATGAGAAAGATATGAAATATCTTAAACATTGATTTACTAGTGCACTTATCTGACTGGTTGATAACTCACGTGTGGCCCAGTCGTCCGAGGTGACACAATACTTGTGCTCGTGGGTTTCACCAAAGCAGTAAACGTCTGAGACCTGCATCACTTTAAGCTTTCCTTGTACCTAAAGCTGACATGCTGTGGTATAACTGAAATACTGTTCAAAGCGGTGTTAAACCCAACTCACTCATTTATGATACAGATCACTATCAGTCCAAGATTTACAGAGTGCAGATCCCTGCTCCGCTGGAAGCACTAGTAAAATCTCCATTATGGTTCAGACTAACTTTTGCAAGATTTACAAACTACTTTGAGCTGCTTGTGCTACTACACTATTTCAAACCTCCTCAAGCTTCCATCACCCAGGAGTAGCCAGCAGCTTGAAGCACTAGCCGCTTGATAAGCAGCTGTAGTCAGCTCTCTAACCAGCATACCCCTTGTGTTTCAGCATCACCAACTAGCCCTCAGGCCCTCCCCTGTAGTCTCCTGGCTTGTACAGGGATTCTCTCAGATGTACAGAGTAGGTTAACCTCCTAGGTGTTGTCACTGAGAGTCAGCCCTGCTTCACCCAGCCTCCCCTTGTCTGGTGCAGTAATGTCAGTCAGTACTTCCCAGGTTTGTATACACTGCGTTCCTCCATCCCCTCCGACACCTGTGAATACATACGGCCACTTTGCGGTTCAGTCGCTATTGTTTTACCAATGAGCAAGCAACGGCTCTGTTCCAGGAAGAGGGAAACCCATGCTTCAATATCAGGTGGGGTCATGAGTGGCCCAGTTATCTAAGGCGAGATTCGCTGTGCAATTCGAGTTGCATCCCTTGGACATGCTAGCCGTGATCATGGGCTTGAACCCTGGTTCGCCCCACACACAAAATCAGGCAAGGGTAGAGTTCGCACAAACTTCATATATGGAGGAGAGTTTATTTGACTTCTCTGAGTTAAATGCGTCGTGATTTTATTACCCGACTAAAATTGACGTATGTCACAACTAATAGCGATCGTATGTATTCCATTGTGATGGAGGACGTAGTGTATAAACATTCGTGAAGTTATGACAATGGGTGTTAGATGCTGTTTCGTCGTGTAGTTCTGCTTAACTTAGTGTAGTTTGACTGTCCTAGTTACATTGGCTGTTGTTTAAATCTGCTTTACCTATAGAGCTTTATGGTATCCCTCACACATGCTTCAGGTGCTATTGTGAATTCAAGGATCCTTTATTTGGGCCCCTTGGGGATTCTGGGTTGGAATAGATATCCAGGAACCTTTGCTGGTCGTAGATCCAAGAGGCACTCAAAGGGTCGGGGGTCAGACTCGGTGATTTGGTTGATTCCATGTCATTCGTACCCCATCAGTGTGGATTATTGTTCACTATGTCGATGAGTGTATTGTCCGATCCAGGACTGAGTATTTACTGGCTGCTGTCATGGTGCTGGATTATTGCTCACTATGTCGATGAGTGTGTTGTCCGATCCAGGACTGAGTATTTACTGGCTGCTGTCACGGTGCTGGATTATTGCTCACTATGTCGATGAGTGTGTTGTCCGATCCAGGACTGAGTATTTACTGGCTGCTGTCACGGTGCTGGATTATTGCTCACTATGTCGATGAGTGTGTTGTCCGATCCAGGACTGAGTATTTACTGGCTGCTGTCATGGTGCTGGATTATTGCTCACTATGTCGATGAGTGTGTTGTCCGATCCAGGACTGAGTATTTACTGGCTGCTGTCACGGTGCTGGATTATTGCTCACTATGTCGATGAGTGTGTTGTCCGATCCAGGACTGAGTATTTACTGGCTGCTGTCACGGTGCTGGATTATTGCTCACTATGTCGATGAGTGTGTTGTCCGATCCAGGACTGAGTATTTACTGGCTGCTGTCATGGTGCTGGATTATTGCTCACTATGTCGATGAGTGTGTTGTCCGATCCAGGACTGAGTATTTACTGGTTGCTGTCATGGTGCTGGATTATTGCTCACTATGTCGATGAGTGTGTTGTCCGATCCAGGACTGAGTATTTACTGGTTGCTGTCATGGTGCTGGATTATTGCTGAGTGTGGCATAAAAAAAAAACAAGCAAACTTTATTTGTCTGTCAACATTTTGCCTTAGCTTGTAGAACCGTCTTGTCTAGAATAGATGTGACTTGTGCTGTCTTGTGTTGTATAACTGTTAGCCAGATGTTCAACTTATTTTAATGGTAACCTTGCCATGTTTCTATGTATATTTTAGCCATGGTTAAACAGTGTTTGGCCTGCCTGCCTGATATCTGGAATTGCAAAGCTAGCTACACTCATTACAGTTGAACTTGATAATCTGATAAGCTCTATCTGTCCGGCATGTTATGCTTCCTGGGTCCACTTGCACGAAGCGATCTTAGTGCTAAGATGATCTTGACTCCCATACTTTAACATAGGCTTACATTAGTCTTAGATCGTTTTGTGCAAGTGGGCCCTGATCAGAACATTCCTTGACAAAGTGGTAGAGTGAAGACGTTTGGATTTAGAATTTTCAAAATCTGTCGATGTAATTTTCATTAACATGACAACCTAGCCTATGTCCGTCCTTCTCCCATTTATGTTTATTCACCTCTAGACTTATGTTGTGTGCACCGCTCCATTGTCAAAATTCTGGATTCGTCTCTGCAAGCTGAAGCCAGTTAATTGCTCTACCACCGGTGTTTTATATGTTATTCATTGTAAACGAATAGTACAGGTCCCCTGGCCTGTAGTAAGAGGTGGCTTTGTAAAATCAGTCAGGTGAGTTGGTTGATTGCATATCGTCGTAAATGGACTGTGTGAGATGTTGCTCATAATATCAATCACTGCTTTGTCTTGTCCAGATTGGGTTATTTACTGGCCAGTGTTATATTGCTGGAATATTTCTGTCTGCAGTGTAAACAATCAAAACATTGTAGTTATGGATAAATCTGATTTTGAGTTGGATGTTGAAAATGAGATTAAATGTATTTAATAATGTCTGAAGCCATCTTCAGGAAGACTTGTGTCACCCATCGATTCTGTTCACTTGATATTTTGGTCTAAAATTTAACTACTACAGAATAGTAGGATAATTAGGCCTTTACAATGTCAACATAGTTCTTTGTACGTTCTCTATTGTCCAACCAATGTCTGCCTTGTAACATTGTCCTCTTCTGAAGATTCTCCTCCCCAATAAGTCCCCCCAAACCTATCCTGGTCATAAGAGGTGACCAAAGGGATCAGGCTGTCAGGCTCGGTGACTTGGTTGATTGAGTGACTTTGTTCCAAGATGGCAGGATGGCAACCCATACTTGCCGTAAAAGGCGACTTTGCTTGTCGTAAAAGGCGACTTTGCTTGTCGTAAAAGGCGACTCACGAGATCGAGTGGTCAGGCTCGCTGACATGGCTGATGTATATCATCGTATTCCAATTGCGTAGATCGATGCTCACAATATCAATCAGTGGATTGTCTGGTCAGATTCCATTATTTACAGGCCACTATCATACAGCTGCAATATTGCTGTGAGCGGCGTTATACAAAACAACCCAAGGTGGTAAACAGCTATGACCTTGGTCACATTAAACTGTGCCATGTTCCAATATAACTAAGATACTCTTCAAAACATCCAGCTTTAAACCCTACTTACTTTTCTCCAAAGCTATCAATCTTAAATATGACTTCAGCGTCTTCCATCAAATTGGAGGTTTTATGTTTGTTGAGATTGTAATAAAATTTTATCTGTTTCAAATGTCAATTGCATCAATGTTCCACAAGGAAGTATGTAGGTAGCTTTTGATATTTTAAATTTTTAACAAATCTAATGAAATAAATCAGCATTTTAGTATTTGGATGTAATATAATTCATGACTGCAGAACAGTTTTTCTGATGTTAAATCAGTACACTGAAGTTTGTGTGTTCAGCATTCTGGGTGAAGGATTAGTATTCAACCATGACTCGTACATTCCCAGTTTGTGTGCTGTGAATGTCAATGAACGTTGTGCATCAAGGTGGCTGTAGGACTCACTATATAGCATCACCAGCAGCAGCATGGCCAGTTAGTAAAGATCAGCAATGTCAGTAATCAAGCAGGAGAGAAGCATTCCATGTCTTTATTGATCTGATTTGTTATTTATAACTGACAATAATGCCACATTAAGCCCAAAATATGGATTGGGATATATATGAAACATGTGAGCCTCTTTTCAGATCACTTAGTCCAAGTTTATGACTCTTTGGAACAATTAAAACATACTGACTGCTGTGCTTCTGATGGTTAATGGCTTAAAGATTTTCAACAAAATTGTCATAAATATATGCAGTAACTGTATGTGTTGTCACATGGTTTATTGAATGAGTGTTGCTCTTTGTAGCGCTATTTTGAAGTTACATGGCGTTCACGCATTAGTTAAACAGTAGTGCATGAAAGCTTTTACATTCTATTTCTGCTTGTAGATATTTATTATCCAGGACACCACATCTTCCCGAGGCAAGGGAGTTAACTGACTAGAAAAGTCCAGTTTCCACCCTTGCCAAAACTATGCTGGAATTCGTTGTCCCTCCTATTGACCAATCAGATGCCGCCTCTCATATCACTTGCATTTGCTTCAAACAAAATCGAGGCGCCGCGATTCGCTGTGCAGAGTTGCGTCCCTTGGACACGCCAGAAACCTATGATTGTGGGTTCGAATCCCGGTTCGCCCCGATTATGTTTCTAGGTTTGTCAGCACCATACCCGTGCTCGTGGGTTTCACCGAAGTGGTAAACGTCTGAGACCTGCATCACTTCGGGCTTTCCTCCCACATTAAGCTGACACGCCGTGATATAACTGGAATACTGTTAAAAGCGGCGTTAAACCCAACTCACTCACTCACTCAAACAAAATCGTGGCACCCATTCAAGATGATCTGATTGATAATGAAGGACTATATTGTCATAAAATGGGTCTTGCGCTGCAAAGTCATCACATCACTAGAACACCTTGATTAAAAGCATTGATGCTTACATGCTTTGCAAATCCTGCAGTCGGCATACATGCTGTTTATGAACCAGGTGTCTAGTTGGTTACGTGATTTGATTGGACTGTGCATAGACACGTCAATCCAGTCAAGCTATAACTCCACGATTCCAGCCTAGTTAGGTAAGGGTGGAAACTTGACTTTTATAGTCAGTTAACTCCCTTGATGAGCACACCGTTCCATAAAACGATCATGGTGCTAATATGATTGTAACTCCCATGACTTTTGACAAGCAATGAGGCCTAGGTTAACTGTCACTTTTCAAACAAGAATATATTATCGTAGAAAGTAATGTGATAATTTGAATAATTTCATTTTACTTATAGGATTAAAGGGTATGACTCAAATAAGTCCCAAAAGTTTGTGGGAATATCAACAGTTGTCAAATTGACTTATTTTAGTCGATGATTTAAACCTTTGTATTACTTTTTCAGACAATTTACGTGAAGAACTAGTCGCCTCTGGGATTGCTGACATTACTCGTGAACTTTCGCTACATGGAGATGAGAAAGTGAAAGAGGTGGCGAAGTCAGTTCTAGCATTCATCGATGACTCACCTGTCAACAGATGAATCACAGATAGCAACGACCAATCAAAACCACTGTTTAACGACACATGCACTGTAAAACTTGGACAAGGACAAAAGGGTCAAGGTCATATTTAAAAGTGAATGAAATAGCACATTTGGATTGCAGTGGCGAGGGTTTCAAAGTACTGTCGCAATACTCACATTGTCATGTTAAGTCCGACCATGTATTGAACCTTGATAGCTCAATTTGTATTACATGGTGAAAAGTACATTTGAAATCAAACAACTTCTTATGGTACCAAATAAATTCATCTGTGAAAATGCGTTTTTGTAAAGGGTCTACCCCGTCAACCAATTTAGGTGGATATTTGAATGTGATTGACATGACAATGACAAGCTGACGTGTGTGGGTGTTGAGTGACATGTTATGTACATTTAACAGACACCATACAGGCAACCATCATGAAGACAGCGTTGTTGGGTCCAAGTTTTTATCATTCCTGATCACTGGGATTGAGCATGGGCATGTATAATCAGAGACCAAAATAAGGTCTCTTATCTTTTATGATTGTTTTCTATTTTACCATTGTTTAATATTGTACTGTCCAGTTTTTTATTTGTCAAACATGGAAACAAAGGTCTACATTCCCATTTGTTCATTGTGTTTTTCTATTGTTACTGAGGACATTAATTTCACGTGTAATTTTGATGTTAGTGTCAGATGTCAATATCTTGTAGTGTTTTGTCTTGTGTGGTGAGGCATTATCTGTAAGTTGTAAATCTTTGCGTTGAAACTGCTAATGGATGATTGCTGATGGCCCTTGCTCACAGATATTAGACAGCCTTTCTTTGATTCTATGATTCTTTGACAATGACGAGGTTCATGTTTGTGAAATATACAGTTATGGTGATGCTGTTATGTCTGTTTTAATCAATCAGAAGAAAGCACTGGCACTTAGAATATATTTTAAATAAGCAGATGAAGAATGTAAATAATTATTAGTATGATATCAGATAGATACTATTACTATATTTTCCTTAATAAATCTCTTAAGAGACATCTCTGAGCAGGGGAAATATCAACACAGACTAGCTGTTAGAAATTATGAACAGGATTTTATCATTTTGTCCTCTGTCTTGAACAAAATTTCTGACTGATAAGAAATTCTTTTGTTGTTATCTAAGAACATAGACTATCAACCCGGAGTTGGGAATCCAGTTTGAATCCAGTTTGAATCCACATTGTCCCTGCCCGATGTTGTGCAATGGTTGTTCCCAGTGTAATGCACACAGTTCCATGTTAAATCTGTGTTAGAATACAGGGTCATTTAATCTACTTTGTCATTTCAAGGTTGCCCTCCAAATAGTGGTATGTCTTCACTGTGTCAGGAAGAAGATTTCCAGATTAACAGGATTCCGATGTATACTACTCAATAGAAGTTAAAGAACAAACTGTTTTCATATGTTATGGACACATTAACTGTAGTCATATGAAAACATATGTTGTTTGACTTCTTTTGAGTAGTTTACATCCACTTTGTTAGTTGGATTAGTTATTGGTAGGTATAAATCACAAATATACCTCAGCTTATTGAAGATATTACTGTGTAATTTGAAATGCAGTGATAAGGCCATTTGTGGAAATGATTGGTTTCATGTTTTTGGTTGTTGGTTGGTTTGTTGTTTAATGCGGCACTCTGCAATATTTCAGCTATGTGATGACGGTCTGTAAGTAATCAAGTCTGGACCAGACAATCCAGTGATTGACATCATGAGCATCATTAAAAGCAATTGGGATTGATGACATGCATCAACCAATTCAGCGAGTCTGACCACCCGATCCTGTCAGTCGCCTCTTACGACAAGCATAGTCGCCTTTTACAGCAAGCATGGGTTGCTGAAGACCCATTCTACCCCGGATCTTCACGGGCCTCATGTTTTTGGGAACCTTTTGTGACCTGTATCTTTTTTTGAGACCCTTTTATGACCTGTATCTTTTTGAATTGTGAATTTGAAATATAAAGTTGCAAATGTAAAAGAAAATCTCGATCAGCTACAGAGCCTCATGGCTCTTTTTAAGAATTAGTAGCCCTATGAAACAGGACAGGTTTGGTTTGAATTGCGTGCGGTCTCCATGGACTTCTTGCAATTCGTTCGGCACATGTCTTGAAATGGTTGAAGGTCAAGGTCATGAGACTGACAAGGCTCCAAACTCTTTTGTGTTTAGACTTTCTCCAGAAGTATTAAGCATATATCATTAAACTTGGTATATACCTTCTGTAGGATGGGACGCTGCTTTGAAAAGATTCAGGTCAAACTTTGTCAAGGTCAGCATGCAGATGTTTTTTTTATAACATGATTGTATCATTTTCAGTTTCTGAGTCATGGTTACCTCCCTAATGGCAAACTATATATTTGCATCTATGTTCACTAATCCAACATGTTTAGTGTTGGTGCTTTCTGTATCAAAGGTCAAGATCATCACATAAGTATTTAAGTTATATACAAATATTGTTGAAAGTGGCAAAACGCCCAACTCACTCACTATATACAATGAAACTCTGACAGGGTTCCCAGTGAATTAACATGGAATAGTAAACTTCCAGATTAACAAATCATTCATACGTAGTAATGTGCATTGTTTATATATAGATATTCCAGTAATTGCCTGGAAGGCAGACTTTCCTGTTTAACACGGTCTGGACCAACATTGCTGATATTTGTGTTGTTATAAACTCAAGGACCCACCATTTGATGTCCTTGGAGGGCCTGCAGGGATATTTGTTAGAGGCAGGATATTTTGTTCAGTCTGCTTCATAAAAGGAGAAACTGAACTATTACATTTAGTTTACACAACATATTACTTTTTTCAGGACATGTCCAGCAAAAGGTGAGTTCTGTCGGGGTCTTTTACTGTTTCAACCCCACTTCCCCAAATATGACATTGTCGATCCCCAAATCTATATTGCTCACACAACCGATCACTATCAACTACTGGAGACCATTGATATGTCAGGTCCAAGGCTTGTCTGTAGTCAAGCAGCATGTTTTTTACTCGCCATGGTTGTCGTCCCCGAATACTCCTACCCTACTGACTCTCTAGTGTTCAAAAACTAGCATTGCGCACATCACCCTCGACAACAAGTACCTTGTCTCGTGTCAAACAGACTTGGACTAAAGAACAGTTTCTTGCATTTCGCATATCCACTATCTAACGTTCTTTATTGATTGGTGGTTTTTTCTTGTTTCACTAGTTGTTATTCTTATTTTTGTTTCATGTATTTTGATGATTGAGATTTTTAGTGAGGGAGCACCACTAACACACTCAATACCTGGAGTGTTACAATCTAAGTTCATCTAAAACCAAGTGCGTTCGTCTTGAAGGAAAATATCTACAATGCCTTCTGGAATGTAAAAAAACCCCGACAAAACCCTTTCCATACTCATAAGACATTTCTGCTAAAAGCTGAGTTAATTGTATGACTATATTATGAGCATGTGTGTATGAATCTCTCAAATAGTGATGATACCAGGTGTTCGCGAAAAGGTGAGCATATCCCGCCCCATCACTGACATCCATCACAAACACATGCAAAGACAAGTCATTTGTTCACCTGAAAGAACACAGGAACATATGGGATAAGTCAGAATATGAATTGCATCGGACATCATCTCTGTCATCTATACATCAAATATACGGAAATGTCTACAAAAGATTGTTGAAAGCTTTACTTAAATGTTGTAACTCTTGATTAAGCAACTTGAGAGCAAGAGTTGTATGACGCTTTTTGACATCTGAGTAAAAAAGAGCCTGCTCGATTGAACCTCAAAACTTGTGAAATGTAAACATCCAAGGCTGGAGCTGCTGGAGTATGGTTTTGGGAAAGTTAACAATTGGGAAGTTGAAGTTATCTCTCTTGTAATACAGTCATGTGGAAAGAGTTTTGTCACTGAATCTTTATGCATAGAGCTGAATATGAATCAGATGAGGCAATCTCCTTTATTTCTATCTATGGAGGGTAAATCAGCAGAACAATATCAGATCATACCCCGGAATCTTAAGTTGTACTTCTTGGCCAAATGACCTTGTTTTGACTTTGCCATCCAAGCAGAAAATACATATGAAAAACATATTTGCAAGAAGGGGAGCACAATTGGTTCCCATGGGGATGCCTGCTTATGGCCTAAATGTCTTACCACCAAATTTTACAGGGATGTTGTCAATGAGGAAGTTTCACTTATCATTTTCTCAGTAAGCTTAAGATGGTATTTCCTTTCATTTTTGACAAATTGTCCTGAACTTCTGACGATATGTCACTGTACCATAGTCACCACGTCTTGTAACGAAAGCCCAGTGGGTTAAGGAATGTATTTCTCCTTAAGTTTGTCATGTGGGATAGTTGTGTACAAAGTTGAAAAATCAAATGTTTTGACAGACTTGAACATGGTTCTTTTATGAAATTGCAAAAAGTCAATGTATGCAATGTAAGCGTAGCATGAATGTTTGCCTTTGTTTTCTGGATGGATGTTTACCTGTATATTCAAATCATGTTTGTTTTTTGTCTTTTGTACAAGCAGCTGAAAATAAAAACTGTGACCATATCACTTGGGTTATTTTTCTAAAAGAGATTGGTCATTTTTGAATGAGATGTGCTGGAGAGAATGCCCAAGAGCAGACCATGAAAGATATATTTTGGTTAAGTCACAATACTATTGACATACATTTGTCCCCCCAGGTTTTCCTGGATCCTCTCAGCCAAACCTTCAGTGTCCCGATTTGTCCCCCATCTTCACATCATATAGGCAATATGCTGGAAAGAATGAATGAAGACCGTTATTGGTATCCTCTGCCATGATATTATGACTCCATCTTAGCTTCAAGAAGGCAGGGTTCTTGGTGGGCTCCTCCATCTAAGCCACATGAAGGCAGGGTTCCTGGTGGGTGGATTCATCTAAGCCACAACAAGGAAGGGTTCCTGGTGGGCTGCTCCATCTAAGCCACGTCAAGGCAGGGTTCCAGGTGGGTTGTTTCATCTAAGCCACATCAAGGCAGGGTTCCAGGTGGGTTGCTTCATCTAAGCCACATCAAGGCAGGGTTCCTGGTGGGTTGCTTCATCTAAGCCACATCAAGGCAGGGTTCCTGGTGGGTTGCTTCATCTAAGCCACATCAAGGCAGGGTTCCTGGTGGGTGGATTCATCTAAGCCCCATCAAGGCAGGGTTCTTGGTGGGCTGCTCCATCTAACCCACATGAAGGCAGGTTTCCTGGTGGGCTGCTCCATCTAAGCCACATGAAGGCTGGGTTCCTGGTGGGTGGATTCATCTAAGCCACATCAAGGCAGGTTTCCTGGTGGGTGGATTCATCTAAGCCACATCAAGGCAGGGTTCCTGGTGGGTGGGGGGGGCACGGGTGGCCCAGTCGTCTAAGGCACCGCTATTCGCTGTGCAGAGTTGCGTCCCTTGGGCACACCAGAAACCTATGATTGTGGGTTCGAATCCCGGTTCGCCCCGATTATGTTTCTAGATTTGTCAGCACCATACCCGTGCTCGTGGGTTTCACCGAAGTGGTAAACGTCTGAGACCTGCATCACTTCGGGCTTTCCTCCCACATTAAGCTGACACGCCGCGATATAACTGGAATACTGTTAAAAGCGGCGTAAAACCCAACTCACTCACTCCTGGTGGGTGGATTCATCTAAGCCACATCAAGGCAGGGTTCTTGGTGGGCTGCTCCATCTAAGCCACATGAAGGCAGGGTTCCTGGTGGGTGGATTCATTTAAACCACATCAAGGAAGGGTTCTTGGTGGGCTGCTACATCTAAGCCACATCAAGGCAGGGTTCCTGGTGGGTTGCTCCATCTAAGCCACATCAAGGCAGGGTTCCAGGTGGGTTGCTTCATCTAAGCCCCATCAAGGCAGGGTTCCTGGTGGGTTGCTTCATCTAAGCCACATCAAGGAAGGGTTCCTGGTGGGTTGCTTCATCTAAGCCACATCAAGGAAGGGTTCCTGGTGGGCTGCTCCATCCCAGCCACATCAAGGCAGGGTTCCAGGTGGGTGGATTCATCTAAGCCCCATCAAGGCAGGGTTCCTGGTGGGTTGCTTCATCTAAGCCACATCAAGGAAGGGTTCCTGGTGGGTGGATTCATCTAAGCCACATCAAGGCAGGGTTCCAGGTGGGTTGCTTCATCTTAGCCACATGAAGGCAGGGTTCCTGGTGGGTGGATTCATCTAAGCCACATCAAGGCAGGGTTCCTGGTGGGTGGATTCATCTAAGCCACATCAAGGCAGGGATCCTGGTTGGCTGCTCAATCTAAGCCACATGAAGGCAGGGTCCCAGTAGGGTGGATTCATCTGAGCCACATCAAGGAAGGGGTCCTGGTGGGCTGCTCCATCTGAGCCACATCAAGGAAGGGTTCCTGGTGGGTTGCTTGGTCTAAGCCACATCAAGGCAGGGTTCTAGGTGGGTTGCTTCCTCTAAGCCACATCAAGGCAGGGTTCCAGGTGGGTTGCTCCATCTAAGCCACATCAAGGCAGGGTTCCAGGTGGGTTGCTTCATCTAAGCCCCATCAAGGCAGGGTTCCTGGTGGGTGGATTCATCTAAGCCACATGTAGGCAGGGTTCCTGGTGGGTTGCTTCATCTAAGCCACATCAAGGAAGGGTTCCTGGTGGGCTGCTCCATCTAAGCCACATCAAGGAAGGGTTCCAGGTGGGTGGATTCATCTAAGCCACATGAAGGAAGGGTTCCTGGTGGGCTGCTCCATCTAAGCCACATCAAGGCAGGGTTCCAGGTGGGTTGCTTCATCTTAGCCACATGAAGGCAGGGTTCCTGGTGGGTGGATTCATCTAAGCCACATCAAGGCAGGGTTCCTGGTGGGTGGATTCATCTAAGCCACATCAAGGCAGGGATCCTGGCTGGCTGCTCAATCTAAGCCACATGAAGGCAGGGTCCCAGTAGGGTGGATTCATCTGAGCCACATCAAGGAAGGGGTCCTGGTGGGCTGCTCCATCTGAGCCACATCAAGGAAGGGTTCCTGGTGGGTTGCTTGGTCTAAGCCACATCAAGGCAGGGTTCTAGGTGGGTTGCTTCCTCTAAGCCACATCAAGGAAGGGTTCTAGGTGGGTTGTTTCATCTAAGCCACATCAAGGCAGTGTTCTAGGTGGGTTGCTTCCTCTAAGCCACATCAAGGCAGGGTTCTAGGTGGGTGGATTCATCTTAACCACATCAAGGAAGGGTTCCTGGTGGGCTGCTCCTTCTAAGCCACATCAAGGCAGGGTTCCAGGTGGGTTGCTTCATCTAAACCACATGAAGGCAGGATTCCTCGTGGGTGGATTCATCTAAGCCACATGAAGGCAGGGTTCCTGGTGGGCTTCTCCATCTAAGCCACATCAAGGCAGGGTTCCAGGTGGGTTGCTTCATCTAAGCCACATCAAGGCAGGGTTCCTGGTGGGTGGATTCATCTAAGCCACATCAAGGCAGGGTTCCTGGTGGGTGGATTCATCTGAGCCACATCAAGGCAGGGATCCTGGTTGGCTGCTCAATCTAAGCCACATGAAGGCAGGGTCCCAGTAGGGTGGATTCATCTGAGCCACATCAAGGAAGGGGTCCTGGTGGGCTGCTCCATCTGAGCCACATCAAGGCAGGGTTCCTGGTGGGTTGCTTGGTCTAAGCCACATCAAGGCAGGGTTCTAGGTGGGTTGCTTCATCTAAGCCACATGAAGGCAGGGTTCCTGGTGGGTGGATTCATCTAAGGCACATGAAGGCAGGGTTCCTGGTGGGTGGATTCATCTAAACCACATCAAGGAAGGGTTCCTGGTGGGCTTCTCCATCTAAGCCACATCAAGGCAGGGTTCCAGTTGGGTTACTCCATCTAAGCCACATCAAGGCAGGGTTCCAGGTGGGTTGCTCCATCTAAGCCACATCAAGGCAGGGTTCCAGGTGGGTTGCTTCATCTAAGCCCCATCAAGGCAGGGTTCCTGGTGGGTGGATTCATCTAAGCCACATGTAGGCAGGGTTCCTGGTGGGTGGATTCATCTAAACCACATGAAGGCAGGGTTCCTCGTGGGTGGATTCATCTAAGCCACATCAAGGCAGGGTTCCTGGTGGGCTGCTCCATCTAAGCCACATCAAGGCAGGGTTCCAGGTGGGTTGCTTCATCTAAGCCACATGAAGGCAGGGTTCCTGGTGGGTGGATTCATCTAAGCCACATCAAGGCAGGGTTCCTGGTGGGTGGATTCATCTAAGCCACATCAAGGCAGGGATCCTGGTTGGCTGCTCAATCTAAGCCACATGAAGGCAGGGTCCCAGTAGGGTGGATTCATCTGAGCCACATCAAGGAAGGGGTCCTGGTGGGCTGCTCCATCTGAGCCACATCAAGGCAGGGTTCCTGGTGGGTTGCTTGGTCTAAGCCACATCAAGGCAGGGTTCTAGGTGGGTTGCTTCATCTAAGCCACATCAAGGAAGGGTTCTAGGTGGGTTGCTTCCTCTAAGCCACATCAAGGAAGGGTTCTAGGTGGGTTGTTTCATCTAAGCCACATCAAGGAAGTGTTCGTGGTGGGTTGCTTCATCTAAGCTACCTGAAGGCAGGGTTCCTGGTGGGTGGATTCATCTAAGCCACATCAAGGCAGGGTTCCTGGTGGGTGGATTCATCTAAGCCACATCAAGGCAGAGATCCTGGTTGGCTGCTCAATCTAAGCCACATGAAGGCAGGGTCCCAGTAGGGTGGATTCATCTGAGCCACATCAAGGAAGGGGTCCTGGTGGGCTGCTCCATCTGAGCCACATTAAGGAAGGGTTCCTGGTGGGTTGCTTGGTCTAAGCCACATCAAGGCAGGGTTCTAGGTGGGTTGCTTCCTCTAAGCCACATCAAGGAAGGGTTCTAGGTGGGTTGTTTCATCTAAGCCACATCAAGGCAGTGTTCTAGGTGGGTTGCTTCCTCTAAGCCACATCAAGGCAGGGTTCTAGGTGGGTTGTTTCATCTAAGCCACATCAAGGCAGTGTTCTAGGTGGGTTGCTTCCTCTAAGCCACATCAAGGCAGTCTTCTAGATGGGTTTCTTCCTCTAAGCCACATCAAGGAAGGGCTCCTGGTGGGTGGATTCATCTAAGCCACATCAAGGAAGGGTTCCTGGTAGGCCGCTCCATCTAAGCCACATGAAGGCAGGGTTCCTGGTGGGTGGATCCTTCTAAGCCACATCAAGGCAGTCTTCTAGATGGGTTTCTTCCTCTAAGCCACATCAAGGAAGGGCTCCTGGTGGGTGGATTCATCTAAGCCACATCAAGGAAGGGTTCCTGGTAGGCCGCTCCATCTAAGCCACATGAAGGCAGGGTTCCTGGTGGGTGGATCCTTCTAAGCCACATCAAGGCAGGGTTCCTGGTGGGTTGCCTCAGCTTAGTCACATCAAGGCAGGGTTCCTAGTGGGTTGCCTCTTCTAAGTCACATCAAAGCAGGGTTCCTGGTGGGTTGCTTCATCTAAGCCACATGAAGGCAGGGTTCTTGGTTGGTTGCATCAGCTAAGCCACATCAAGGCAGGGTTCCTGGTGGGTTGCCTCAGCTAAGCCACATCAAGGCAGGGTTCTAGATTGGTTGCCTCTTCTAAGCCACATCAAGGCAGGGTTCCTGGTGAGTTGCCTCTTCTAAGCCACATTAAGGCAGGGTTCCTGGTGGGTTGCCTCAGCTAAGCCACATCAAGGCAGGGTTCTTGGTGGGTTGCCTCAGCTAAGCCACATCAAGGCAGGGTTCCTGGTGGGTTGCCTCAGCTAAGCCACATCAAGGCAGGGTTCTAGATGGGTTGCTTGGTCTAAGCCACATTAAGGCAGGGTTCCTGGTGGGTGGATTCTTCTGAGCCACATCAAGGAAGTGTTCGTGGTTGGTTGCTTCCTCTAAGCCACATCAAGGCAGGGTTCTAGGTGGGTTGTTTCATCTAAGCCACATCAAGGCAGTGTTCTAGGTGGGTTGCTGCCTCTAAGCCACATCAAGGCAGGGTTCTAGGTGGGTTGCTTCATCTAGGAAATGTTCAAGTTGGGTTGCTACATCTAAGCCACATCAAGGAAAGGTTCCTGGTTGGTTGCTTCATCTAAGCCACATGAAGGCAGGGTTCAAGGTGGGTTGCTTCATCTAAGCCACATGAAGGCAGCGTTCCTGGTGGGGGGATTCATCTAAGCCACATCAAGGAAGTGTTCGTGGTGGGTTGCTTCCTCTAAGCCACATCAAGGCAGGGTTCTAGGTGGGTTGCTTCCTCTAAGCCAATTCAAGGAAGGGTTCTAGGTGGGTTGTTTTATCTAAGCCACATCAAGGCAGTGTTCTAGGTGGGTTGCTTCATCCAAGCCACATGAAGGCAGCGTTCCAGGTGGGTTGCTTCATCTAAGCCACATGAAGGCAGCGTTCCTGGTGGGGGGGGGATTCATTTACCCACATCAAGGAAGGGTTCCTGGTGGGCTGCTCCATCTAAGCCACATCAAGGAAGGGTTCCTGGTGGGCTGCTCCATCTAAGCCACATCAAGGCAGGGTTCCTGGTGGGTGGATTCATCTAAGCCACATCAAGGCAGGGTTCCTGGTGGGTGGATTCATCTAAGCCACATCAAGGCAGGGTTCCTGGTGGGCTGCTCCATCTAAGCCACATCAAGGCAGGGTTCCTGGTGGGTGGATTCATCTAAGCCACATCAAGGAAGGGTTCCTGGTTGGTTGCTTCATCTAAGCCACATCAAGGAAGGGTTCCTGGTTGGTTGCTTCATCTAAGCCACATCAAGGCAGGGTTCCAGGTGGGTTGCTTCATCTAAGCCACATCAAGGAAGGGTTCATGGTGGGCTGCTCTATCTAAGCCACATCAAGGAAGGGTTCCTGGTGGGCTGCTCCATCTAAGCCACATCAAGGCAGGGTTCCTGGTGGGTGGATTCATCTAAGCCACATCAAGGCAGGGTTCCTGGTGGGTGGATTCATCTAAGCCACATCAAGGCAGGGTTCCTGGTGGGCTGCTCCATCTAAGCCACATCAAGGCAGGGTTCCTGGTGGGTGAATTCATCTAAGCCACATCAAGGAAGGGTTCCTGGTTGGTTGCTTCATCTAAGCCACATCAAGGCAGGGTTCCTGGTGGGTTGCTTCATCTAAGCCACATCAAGGCAGGGTTCCAGGTGGGTTGCTTCCTCTAAGCCACATCAAGGAAGTGTTCGTGATGGGTTGCTTCCTCTAAGTCACATCAAGGATGGGTTCCTGGTGGGTTGCTTCATCTAAGCCACATCAAGGCAGGGTTCTAGGTGGGTTGCTTCCTCTAAGCCACATCAAGGAAGGGTTCTAGGTGGGGGGATTCATCTAAGCCACATCAAGGAAGTGTTCGTGGTGGGTTGCTTCCTCTAAGCCACATCAAGGAAGGGTTCTAGGTGTGTTGCTTCCTCTAAGCCACATGAAGGCAGGGTTCTAGGTGGGTTGCTTCCTCTAAGCCACATCAAGGAAGGGTTCTAGGCGGGTTGTTTCATCTAAGCCACATCAAGGCAGTGTTCTAGGTGGGTTGCTTCATCCAAGCCACATGAAGGCAGCGTTCCAGGTGGGTTGCTTCATCTAAGCCACATGAAGGCAGCGTTCCTGGTGGGGGGATTCATCTAAGCCACATCAAGGAAGTGTTCGTGATGGGTTGCTTCCTCTAAGCCACATCAAGGCAGGGTTCCTGGTGGGTTGCTTCATCTAAGCCACATCAAGGCAGGGTTCCAGGTGGGTTGCTTCCTCTAAGCCACATCAAGGAAGGGTTCTAGGTGGGGGGATTCATCTAAGCCACATCAAGGAAGTGTTCGTGGTGGGTTGCTTCCTCTAAGCCACATCAAGGAAGGGTTCCTGGTGGGTTGCTTCATCTAAGCCACATCAAGGAAGTGTTCGTGGTGGGTTGCTTCCTCTAAGCCACATGAAGGCAGGGTTCTAGGTGGGTTGCTTCCTCTAAGCCACATCAAGGAAGGGTTCTAGGCGGGTTGTTTCATCTAAGCCACATCAAGGCAGTGTTCTAGGTGGGTTGCTTCATCCAAGCCACATGAAGGCAGCGTTCCAGGTGGGTTGCTTCCTCTAAGCCACATCAAGGAAGGGTTCTAGGCGGGTTGTTTCATCTAAGCCACATCAAGGCAGTGTTCTAGGTGGGTTGCTTCATCCAAGCCACATGAAGGCAGCGTTCCAGGTGGGTTGCTTCATCTAAGCCACATGAAGGCAGGGTTCCTGGTGGGGGGATTCATCTAAGCCACATCAAGGAAGGGTTCCTGGTGGGCTGCTCCATCTAAGCCACATCAAGGAAGGGTTCCTGGTTGGTTGTTTCATCTAAGCCACATGAAGGCAGGGTTCCTGGTGGGTGGATTCATCTAAGCCCCATCAAGGCAGGGTTCCTGGTGGGCTGCTCCATCTAAGCCACATGAAGGCAGGGTTCCTGGTGGGTGGATTCATCTAAGCCACCTCAAGCAAGGGTTCCTGGTGGGTGGATTCATCTAAGCCACATCAAGGCAGGGTTCCTGGTGGGCTGCTCCATCTAAGCCACATGAAGGCAGGGTTCCTGGTTGGTGGATTCATATAAATATATGTTGATAGGATTAAACACACTGGTATGGGTTCAAATTCACTGGGTAGAATCATCCTGACACTAGAGAATTTCATCCCCGGGATAAAAAAAATAGGGTGGGATAATATTCACTCTTACACATGTACGTCGCTTTATAAGTCCAATAATCTTTGACGCGACTTTTAACCCCATTTCACCTCACCTCACCTTGCATATATACCTCTTAAGTACTTACAATAATGTTCACCATCATGCTTAAATAACTTAAATTAGTAAAACCAAATCTGAATTGTGCTATCTCCAGGGAAGACGGGAAGCTCAAGAACTGAAGGATAAAGAAACACTCGATCTTACGTCAGACTCTCTTTAATGACTAAACATCCCGTGCCTGTACATCTTAACATTCATAGTACAGTTGAATCTTCTTGATGTCAATGGGACTCAGGTGAGTTCTCTGTCCAATGACTGCTCCTTTCTGCTTGACAAGAATGGTTGGCTTGCTGCGGTCGACGGCGAAGCTGTGGGCGTTGTAGTGCATGACGGACTCGTAGTCATAGTGCTGTCCGAGGGTGTCAATCATGGTAGTGGAATACTTGTCAAAGTTGTGCTCACGACCTGAAATATTCAATCAAGGCTGGTAAAGAAACTTGGGATCAGGCATAGAAAATACTGATTTCTGATTTCGTTTCTGTAATGTAAATATTAAGCGTCCAGGCCAGAGAGTAATCTGGATTATCCGACGAAACAGATTCCATTGGGCTTAAAAGCCGTGTAAAATAGCCGTGTAAATTATATATATGATGGCGTCTCAGGTTAATGTGGAAGGAGGCCGCCTCCGTGGTCTTGTGGTAGAGCGTCCGCCCGGAGAGCGGAAGGTCCAGGGTTCGATCCCGGGCCGCGTCATACAAAAAGACGTTAAAAGATTGTACTTGTTGTTACCCTGTCTGGCGCTCGGCATTAAGGGGCTAAAACAAGGACTGGTCGGCTCGGAGTCAGTATACTGTGTCTGAGTGGGGTATTCATGTTAAACTGCGGCATGGTATCTCAGTGAGCTAGCACTATAAATCGGCATCAGTCCGGACTAGTACAAGCAGCCACACACACACATACACGTGCATGCACGTCGCTATATAAGTGCAATAATCTTGGACGCGACGTTAAACCCAATTTCACCTCACCTCACCTAATGTGGAAGGAAAGCCAGAAGTGGTGCCAGTCCCTGGCGTTTACCATAGAAACGTAATCAAGTCGACCCGGGATTCGAACCAACAAAAGTCATAGGTTCCTGGCATGACCAAGAAACGCAACACTGCACTTCAATTGCAGCGCCTTAGACGATTAGGCCACCCGTGCACACCCACACACACCCCACCCAAATTATTAACAGACTGCCGTCATATTGCTAGAACATTGCTGATTACAATGAAAGAAACAAATAGACAAATAGGAGTTTTCAGATAAGGTTATTCTACAGTCGGAGCTACTATAACTGTTATACAGTGCAACCCCATTCATCCAGATGTAGCCTACTGACATTATCCGGATTAAAGAGTCACTGAGGGTTTAATCCTGCTGCTACAGATTTAACATTGTAAAAATGCCCATATCTGCTGTTTACTTTAGCCATGACGAGACTGTCAAAAGATTTAAGAAAACTAATAGGCTGAGATTTGATGACGGTGTATGTCTCTACCATTCTGGATGTTGCTCCACTCAATGGTGACGTAGCTGTCTCTGTCGGGGCGGCTCTGCTCGTGCCAGAAGCCCAGGGCATGGAGAGTCTCGTGCATGATGGTGCCGATTCTGCCACACCCAGATCCCAGTGTCACACCAGAAGTACTGTGGTGATATCCTACAGGAGTATGGCATCTGGAACATGACAGCATGTATATTCCAATATTATTTATGTTTTACTTCCAACAAAAGGCAGATATTCGCACGTCACAACTTTGTCTATGTTTTTGCACCTCAATACCTCACCCATTTTAACACCTCAATACCTCACCCACACTAACACCTCAATACCTCACCCACACTAACACCTCAATACCTCAACCACTTTAACACCTCAATACCTCACCCACTTTAACACATCAATACCACACCCCCACTAACACCTCACTACCTCACCCACTCTAACACCTCTAACTACTTTATACCTTACCCACACAAACACCTCAATACCTCACCCACTCTAACACTCCTGCATATCCCACCCGCTCTCATACCTCCATTTCACCTACCCTGATCCACCCTGGTACTTGATGTACGCTGTTTCATTTGAACGTGGTGTAAAGGTGATACAAGCTCGGCCGTTATGCTTTGTTTTGTCGGAGATGGTCTGCATGGCCTTGTGGATTGTATTCTGCGCGGAGGAAGCTTGACAGATATGAAAATTTAATATTATTACCAGAATCCATGTCAACTAACACAATCCCTTTCTAATCAACAAGAAGCAAGGTGTCCTTTTCACGAGAGTGAAAACCTGTTCACAATTAACTCCCCTACTTGTTACACGCAGACCAGCGAGGTATTCACAACACTAAAACCCTCTGTTCTCTTGTTGTGGGAACACACCGTTGGACGGACGCAGAGATCTTTGGACATGAGCTGACAGGATGCAGCTGAATCAATGTCAGTCCCAACAGGATCTTGTCAAGACGTCATCTGAGACATCAGAAACAGCATCAAGATATCATCAAGATATCATCAAGATATCATCAAGATCGGTGTTTATTCCAGTTGCATTTTCAGCTCCCAGGAAAGTATGCGCCCCATGTTGGGTATTCGGTTCTAGAAGTTTTTGTATTTACACCACCATCATCCAACCGGGCACTTGCTTCTAGGTGGATTGGCGCAAGTTTCCGGGCGAAGTCACTAGGATAAACCAAAAGTGTTCAGTCAGTCCCAGTGTGGGGCAGAAAAAAGGACCGAGGATCCCCGGAGTCAGTGTTGCTGAGTGCGTCACCCATTCACCTTTTTGTTTTGTTCCACTGCCAACTTAAACTCCGTGAGCTATACATAGGACAACAGTCAGGACATCATGTAAGGAACGTTTCCTGGATCCTCTACAGACATGACTCCATTGACGTGTGGATGAGACCTTACGCGTCTGTTGGACTGACCTGCTTGATAACAGTGTTAGAACTTACACCCAAACGTCGCGCCTAATGGTAATAAAGAAGTTGTTCATCCATATATTTTATCCTTACTTAGTACTCCAACTTCTAAATGCCTCTCAAAGAAGTTGAACTGACAATTGTCGAGCTTTACACATCCATTAGAGCATCAAACAATAAATTGGCACATGTTTCTTCCTTCCCTAACAGAAAATATCTTCTGTGTTTTCTCTTAAAGAACGGACAAAATTTCAAGTTACCTAAATCACACTTTCAGGACGGATGTAAAGTTTTCTCACAAAACATACACTGAATATGAATCATATGCCAATTTGGGGCGGCATGGGTAATTCTTCTTTATCAATATCTGGTTCGGGAAAGTATTCGAGCTTTTGGAGATACATGTATTGTAGGCAACTCAGAAAACATCTGCATATTTCCTGAACTAGAAACAATCCTCAGTATGAATTCATAGCAATTTGACCGGATAGTCACCAAGCTACCTTATTCATGTAAATAGCATTATACAGAAGTATAGCAGTATACAACTTAAGATTTCCAACGAGGAACAAACACTGAGATATATTTCTTTCAACAGAAGTTGTGCAAAGATTTAAATGGTGACATTGATTTTGAAGCTTGAAACAAAATTCAGTTGACACTAAATCTAGCGACACCAAAAACTAAATTGAGGGAGTTTTAATTCAAAATTACACACCTAATCCTAGCTACGGCATGTTCTCTTATAAGATTGGCTATCCTTTCTGGCAAAGGTGTCAAACTGTCTCCGAACCAGAGATTCTTTTTATTAACTGTGTCTGGCAAATTCAAACAATTTGTCAGGTGTGGAATCGGTAATCAGATCTAGCCATTTATGTGCACATTTATTGCATCAATTTCGTTCATAAAAAACATCGAGCAGAAAATCAAATATTTTTTAATCAATATAAAATATGTACTGTTTCAATTCGAGGATTAAAACATTGCCATTGCCCATAAATATAAGATGAAAACATTTCTTATTTTGAAGAAGAGTGTCAAGCTTTAACAGTTTCTTTGACACTTTCTGAAACAAATCTCACTAGATCCATTTATATGCTTTTTTATTCCATATTGCATTTTAATTTCCATTTTTCGCATGTGCAGTCTACACCATTTATGCCGTTATCAAACAGTTATTCCAGTCACACCTGTAGTCAAGTTATTCTGGAAAAAGAAAACGATTGTCGAAAGGTGTCGTATTTATCCTTAAGCCCCACTCCAGACACTTATTGGAAACAAGGAGACTTGATCGGGGTCCAATCTATGAATGTTGTTGCGACTTGGGGTGCCTTCTGTGACTCTGACTGGTTTTCTATATTAGAAACGCCATGCCTTCGTGCACTTGGTCTCATTTTGACATGCTCACCATGAGCAAGAGGCTCCATTGTGAACGTTTTATCCTTGCAAACTTTGAGCATACATGTCACCTTGCTGTCTTGCTAATCAACAGGTTTAAGGCATTTGTTATAGCAGAAGTGGCAACATTTATTCAAATTGAAAACTCTTTTATCGTATAGTATTATGAGGTAAACTATATGAAACGTTTAATAGCAAAAGGCGTCCAGATGCAACGTGAACATCCGCAACCATTGTAACAAGAAAACGTATTTTCTGTTTTGTTGTTTTAAATACGCATGTGAATGCTACCATAGTTAGTCGAGTTACTGGCATACATCCCATACAATGATGGTAGCTAGAACCTTTCATATACGTACAGAAATGGTGAGTGTCAATTACATAGGGTACCACGCCATTTGGCCATCTGTATGCTCTGTTCCTGTAGGCATTGCGGCTCTGAAAAAAACATTAACAGGAAGTGCAGAACGAACCTACAACATGTTACCGTGGGAACTGCGGCTCCGAAACCATTCGTTGTGTTTGCAGAACCTATACTTGTTCCAATGGAAATTACGGATCCGAAACCATCCGCAGGATTTGCAGAACCTACTTACTTCCATGGGAATTACGGATCCGAAACCAACCACAGGATTTGTAGAACCTTATTATTCCTATTGGAATTACGGATCCGAAACCAACCACAGGATTTGCAGAACCTACTTATTCCCATTTGAATAACGGATCCGAAACCAACCACAGGATTTGCAGAACCTACTTATTTCCATGGGAATTACGGATCCGAAACCAACCACAGGATTTGCAGAACCTACTTATTTCCATGGGAATTACAGATCCGAAATAATTCATTGGATTTGCAGAACCAACATATTCCCATGGGAGTTACGGCTCCGAAACTTATTATGGGATTTGCTGAATCTACTTATTTCTTTCCAAAGGTATTACGGCTCCGAAACCATCCAAGGGATTTGCAAAAATAACACATTAACGTGGGAATTACGACTCCGAAATATATACACATAATTCGCAAAACCTACTTTTTCCCCTGAGCATAACAGATCCGAAACACATTTTTGGGATTTGTATTTATATTTACTATACATTCTATGATGATATATTTATACAAGAAATGCAAATACGTTATATTTACTCCACATTTTGCTGAAATAATCTCACCAGTGGGTCCTGTCCTGGTCTAAGCTCGATATCACCCTCAAAGAGTCCTAAAATTATAGAACAAATTGTTGAACGAATGGCATTATTGTAGAACTGGCTACCGACAAAATCAAACTCTGACTTTATCCGAGTGTGTATACATGTTTCCATACGTTTGTTTTGTTAATATGTTTATTCATATGAATATCATCGCCGATAGTGATATTGCACAAAAAGACTTGTCTGACCTGAAATTTATTTTGCCCATGACTCAAACCTAGATCGCGTGTATCCTCTCAACAGGAGAGAAAATACAACCGGTTAATTTGGAGTAGCCTCCTCTGTTTGCAACGGCAATGCTAGAATTGTCAGTGTTGTTTTACGCCGCTCTTATCACTATATTACAGCCATATCACGGATGTGGAATCTAAGAATTGACTTCAAACACTGACGCTTGCTCGATGCCGTAGAGGGGCGGTGGTCTAGCCAAGTGGTTTTAAAAGCGTTCGCTCGTCACGCCGAAGACCCGTGTTCGATTCCCCACATGGGTACAATGTCCACTGTCCCCCGCCCTGATATTGCTTAAATATTGCTAAAAGCGGCGTAAAACCACACCAACTCACTCACTCACTTACTCAGTCGGTGACCAGGTGCTTCAATCCCAGGCTACGTCATTCCAAAAGACGTCAAAAGATGGTACTTGTTGTTACCCTGCCTGGCATTAAGGGAACAAAACAAGGACTGGTCGGAGTCAGTATACTGTGTCTGTGGGGGTATTCATGTTGAACTGCGGTTTGGTACGGCAGTGTTCTAGCACTATTAAACCGACATAAGTCGGAACCAGTACAAGCGATCACCCACCCGTGCATGCACGTCGCTATGTAAGTGCAATAATCTTGAACGTGACGTTAAACCCGTTTCACCTCACGTCTGTGAGCGCAGTATGTCTAGAAAATTATGACAATACACGTATAAATTTCTCGAATACACTTTGCAATACCCAAGTTAAACTAAAGGATAATTTTGAAACAAGTTACCTGGGTTCTCCTCTGGGAAATCCTCATTGAACTCTGAAAGAAAATACAATGCACGTGTACTTTATTTGCCATATCATAATCAAGACGCGCACAGCAATTTCTTGGCAGGGTTAAACAGTCAGTCATTAATCCGCTAGGGCTGATGTACGTGTAAGTATCTCAGAGGCACCCTATCTTTATCTCTAGGTTAAGTGATATTACATAAATCGCTTGTAACCAGCGGGTGTCTAACGCTGCTTAAAGTCTACTAAATATTGAGGAAGCATATGCATGTATCATTAATCGTAATCTTGAACAAAAGCAAGGATTAAAAAAAATCAGTATTTCTAATGTTATAATTATTACAAGAGTATACTGTGGGGTATGTTCGTTAGAATGTTTTCTGTTTGGTTGCTGTCAAAACATAGTTAAGTTTCAGTTGTATTTACTCAATTCCATAACTGCATTACTGATATAGTCAATATGGCTTAACCTGTCTTCTCATTCTAGAGATGTAATACTTAATTTCTTCTCATTGTGGGGCGGTCGGTTAGCCTAGTGGTTAAAGCGTTCGCTTGTCACGCCGAAGACCCGGGTTCGATTCCCGATATGGGTACATTGTGTGAAGCCCATTTCTGGTGTCCCCCGTCGTGATATTGCTTGAATATTGCTAAAAGCGGCGTAAAACCATACTCACTCACTCACTCTTCTCATTGGACAAGCAAATGTCCATAGCAAAGGCACGCAGTGCAGGTATGTGCCATTAATTTCATACTAATATGAGGCTCAGGAAAACTGTTGGACTCATTATACATGTGTCTAAACCAATATCGTGTCCACTGACGCATTGATTGGTTAAAATGTCCATTGCAAAAGCACATGATATTATGATACTTATATGTCGTTCACAAATGGTGTTGGACACAAATTAAAAGCATAGCTGTGCCCATTTATGCATTGGTTTGGATACAATTTCCATGACAAAGGCACATGTGCTATGACATGACGTAAAGAAATACTGTTGGACTGAAATGCAAGGCTTAATCTCACCAGCTGTCTCCGGGGCCTGAAAAGACAAAACAAACAGATATTCAAAGGTTAGCATTCACATTAAACAAAGCGCACTTTACCCAATGATTCGGAGGTGCAGTGAGGAAGCCTAGTTGTTAGGCGTTCGCTCAGTTCGAATCCCAACATGCGTGAAGCTAATTTCTGGTGTCCCCTGCCGGAATATTGCTAAGACTAGTATAAAACAATGCACACTCATTGACTTAATGATTTTGGATAAATATTAGTGTATCGAATAGACCCTGCATATGCATGTACCCGGTATTGAAAGGGAAGGTCGGGTACTAGGGGTCGGTCACTTTACCTGCCCCAGGGGCACAGCGAAGGAGTACCCCAAACACAGGACGGCAATCACCCACAACATGTCGCCTCGAGGTGTGAACAGCACACTGACTAGTCCCAGGTCTGCAGCTGCTTACGTCAGATGCCTTGTTCAGGGAGCGGAGCATAGGAATGCCGGTCAAGCCCAGTGGTTACATGCCTTATCGCTAACTTGTTATAATCATATAAATAATATCATTATTTTGTGAAATAAAGCCGCGGTTTAAGTTACTGGTATAAGGAGTACCTTTCGACCCGGATACAGCCAGAACACTAATATAAGGAGTACGTTAGACCCTGGAACAGCCCGACCACTGGTATTAAGAGTACCTGGGAATCCGGATACAGGAAGACCACTTGTATAGGGGGACCTTTAGGCCCAGGTACAGAAAGAACATTGGTATAAGGAGTAACGTTAGACCCAGGTACAGCAACTACGCTAGTCTAAGGAGTGCGTTAGACCCAGGTACTGCAAGAACACTTATATGAGGGGAACGTTAGGCCCATGTCGGCAAGACCACTGATACGGGTATGGTGCTGACAAACCTAGAACATAATCGGGGCGAACCGGGATTCGAATCCACAATCATAGGTTTCTGGCGTGCCCAAGGGACGCAACTCTGCACAGCGAATCACGGCGCCTTAGACGACTGGGCCATCCGTGCCCTTGCAATAGGAGTGATATGAGACAAGAGTGAGTGAGTGAGTTTAGTGATATAAAGGTAAACCTTAGACACGTGTACAACAAGAACACTGATATTTACATACACCTTAGGCCCATGTACAAGAACATTAATATTTAGGTAAACTTTAGACCTGTGTATAACAGGGACACTGGTATTTAGGTTTAGAAAACTACAATACAAAGTAAAAGAAATTTAGACATTTAGACCTTAACTTTCTATATAAACATGTTTTTGACATTTCTTAAAATGTATGCATTAATTTCACTTTTTCAACTTAAGAAGTACAATAGCATATAAATGCATTTACCTATCATCACAAAATGTCAGAAATACCAAAAGAAAACTTACATTTGTGCTCCAACATACTTTCATACAGACTGTGACAATCGGCAGGCAACATGGAGGATCACACAGCACATGTACATCTAATGCATGGGGATTGTGTGCTCACACCTGATCACATGACAGGAAGAAGTGAAACTGAGGCTTCAATATACATTTCAGATTATACAAAAAACTCATTGCTGAAACCTGGGTTTGAACTCACAACCAACAACCTTACTGGATTTTTAGTCCACATCTTTATCCTCTGGACCACAGAGAAGCATGAGAGAATCTGAACAAATTAACATCATAAACCTAATCAATAGAAAAAACTTTCATCTTGGCATATTCACACTCAGCCCTTTAAACACACTTAAGGTTTTTAACAGATAAAGGAAATGTAAGATGTAACTATGATATTCAACTGCAGTATATAACTATTCAGCATCAGCTGGGACAAGCAGGACAAGTTTGTGAATTGGCCTTCGAAGTTCTGAGTCTTTTGTCTTGAGTACCACACTTCTCACTTTGCCAGCACTGTCAGGTTCAGTTTTACTGACACGAGCCATGGACCAGGCACTTCTTGGGAAATTGTCATCTTTGATAAGTACAACATCATTATACTGAAAGTTGCGATGTGGAGTATGCCATTTCTGTCTGTGTTGCAGCGGGACCAGAGGACATCAGCTAGGTGTTGTACCCGTCTCCATCGACGACGTGCAAAGACATCAGAGGGCTGAAACACTCCAGGAGGTGGGATATAAGCACTTGCTTTTACCATAAGCAGATGATTTGGCGAGATTGGGTGGAGGTCCTTGGGATCACTGGATACAGTTGTAAGAGGCCTTGAATTGAGAATGGCCTCAACTTCACAGAGTAAAATTCTATACAGCTCGTCATCAAGGCGTTCACCAAATTCTTGTAGGAGTGGATTGAGAACGTTCCGAACCGACCTTATCAATCTTTCCCACGCACCTCCCATGTGACTAGCTGAGGGCGGATTAAACTTCCAGATGATGTTTTGTTTGAGGAAGTAAGAATGAGTTTTAGACTGATCTATATCTTCTCTTGTCTGGCGAAGTTCTCTGGATCCACTTACGAAGTTTGTACCATTGTCGCAAAAGATTTCTTTGACAGGTCCTCTACGAGCAATGAAACGGCGAAGCGAATTTATGAATGAGTCGGTGTCTAGAGAATTGGCAGTCTCTATATGGACAGCTCTACTAGCAAGACAAGTGAATAGAACTCCATACCGTTTCACGTTCTTGCGTCCTTCCTTGACAGTATGAGGTCCAAAAAAATCAAGTCCAGTAGACGTGAAAGGTGGTGATGGCTGAACACGGCTTGCAGGTAAATCAGACATCATCTGCACACTGGTTGGCTTCTTAAATCTTCTACAAACCACATATTTGTTCAAGATACTTCTCACAGCAGAGTTGGCATTGGGAATCCAATACTCTTCCCTCAAAGCAGATATGACATGAATTCTGCCAACATGCCCTAAACTCTCATGGATCTGTCGAACAATGAGTAAAGCTACATGACTTTTACGAGGCAGTAGAGCTGGATACTTCATCCCATCAGATATATCAGCCTTGCTTAACCGTCCACCCACACATAGCAAACCATTGATGATGACTGGATTCAAACATCGAATTGAACTATTTATTGGCAACTTGCATGAAAATGTCTTGTTTTCTGTGTCCTGAAAGCATGGCAACTTCAGGTCCATAAACTGCTTTCTGAATAAATGTGAGTATACTGCTTTCTGAATCTTTAAGCTCTTGAACAGTCAATGGTGCATTCACTGAGCATCTGTCTTTCATTTCAGCACTGTTTTGCTTAGATTTCATTTGAAGAAAATTGAAGAATCTGCGGTAGATTGCCACTGATCTTTTCAACTGATACCAGGAAGAATAATGATGGATAAGTCTATCCACAATATCTACATTGCAGGAAGATTTCATTTCGTGTGAAGTTGTGATACCTAAAGTTTCTGTTGATTCATGAAATTCAGATACAGGAAATTCAGAATCTGGCAGTCCATCAAACCAGTCTTTGCATGTCAGGAATTTTGAACAGCTAGATCCTCTGGAAGCAACGTCAGCTGGATTGGATTTAGAAGCTATGTACTTCCGCTGTTCGGGATTAGTATAATCTCTAATCAACTTCACTCTGTTGGTAACAAAGATTGGAAATCTGCTTTTCTCATTGCGAATGTAATGGAGAACAGTAGTGAAGTCTGTTTAGTAAGTGATACTATCAATATCCAGATCCAGTTCCTTCAGCAAAAACTGACCAATCTTCACAGAAACAGTAGCTGCTGTCAACTCTAATCGTGGAATTGTCTGATGTTTCAAGGGAGCTAGTCTAGCTTTTCCAAGAAGTAGAGAAGTGTGAATGCTTCCATTGACATCGAATAATCTGATGTAGGCAGAACAACCATAGCCTGTAGTACTAGCATCTGAAAATATATGAAGCTGCCGAGAAGCAACTTTGCCAAAGAATGGAGGTTCCAGACATCTTCTTACTGTCAAACCATTGAGCAATTCCATATCCTGAAGCCATTCCAACCAATGGCACGTGTATTCAGGGCTGACATCCTCATCCCAGTCAAGAGATTTGTCCTTGCACAGATCTTGAAGTATCTTCTTTGCTGGCAGCAACACAGGGGATACAAGCCCAAGGGGGTCATATAGTGATGATACCATGGAATTCCTCTTCTAGTGAATGGTTTTTCAGGCAGGTCCACCATATACTTAAAACTATCCGAGGCAATGTCCCATTGCATGCCCAGTGCTCTTTCCATTGGAACAACATCATAGCTAAGATCAACAGCTTGTATTTCCTTTGAACGGTGCGCTTGAGGAATTGTAAATAACACTGCTTTGCTGTTGCTTGTAAACTTTGTTAGATTGAAACCACCATCTGTACATGCCTGTCTCAGGTTTCTAATCAAATCAGTTGCTATTTCATCGTTTTCTACAGACTTCAAACAATCGTCCACGTAGAAGTTCCTTTCAATGGTTTGTGCAATGTTGTCATCATATTTGCCTCTTGTTTTACTTGCAGTACTTCTCAAAGCATAATTTGCAATCATTGGAAAAGAAACGGTTCCAAAGGTGTGCGCTGTCATGCGGTACTCTTTCAGTTCATTGTGGACGTCACCATCAGGCCACCATAGAAAACGTAAATAGTCCTGATGCTTCTGAGGAACTTTCACCTGATGGAACATCGATTCAACATCTCCCATAAAAGCAACTTGATCTGATCGAAATCGAGTCAAAACACCGATGAGAGAGTTGGCTAAGTCCGGGCCTTGGAGAAGAACATCATTAATAGACAACCCATCAGATTTGGCACTGCAGTCAAAAACGACTCTTATTTTGTTAGGTTTTTTGGGATGATAAACTCCATGATGGGGTAGGTATTTCACAATGACCATCCATAAACCTCAGATTTTCTTCAGTCTCCTTCATGAAACGTTGATCTTCAGCAGAGTAACCACGCTCGCAAGGGAGTTTTCCCAAGGTCTTGCTCATTGAAATCCAGTTCAAACAATCCAAGTACAGCATCAGGTGAAACACATTCCATAATCTTCTCGTTTTCTTTCAGGACAATTTTGTTGCAAACAACAGTTTTATCTTGAGCGTTACACTTGATTTGAAGAGGTCCATTAATTGTCCACCCATGCTTGTACCTCACTGCAAAAGGTCCATTGCCTTGTGTGGGAATAACTTCCAGTGGTCGAAGAGCGGCTGCACAGTTAATTCCAATGAGAAGTCCGATATCAAGATCCGGTAGGTATCGTGGCAGCATATTCGAAACATCCTTAAGATGTGGAATTTTCATCAACAGTTCAGGTTTAGGAATGTGATTGTGGTCAACAGGCATGACTTCCTTACAAAATGTGCGTGGCAAACTTAGAGAATGGTTGTCAGCAAGGTCAGATAACAAGATCACATATAAAATCAGTTCCATTTATCGTTTGCAACTTCAATGTTGTCGGGGTAGAACTGGCAGAGATTTTGTCCTTAAGGTCTTCAGTAATGAAGCATCCTGTGCTGCCATTATCCAACACGGCATACGTTGTAACAACCTTGTCACTTCCTTTCTGTCTGTCTCACTTTAACCGGAAGAATTGGCTGCAGAATGGTGTAAGACACATTGGAACGTTGAGAACCACAGAATGTAGCACCTGTAGTTACCTGTTTTACAGAAGTGTCATCACCGGTCTTCTCTTCTGTTGAGTCAGAGAGTTGCTGCCTCCTGATTGCCTGAAAGTTACTATCATGCAGAGCAGTTGGGTGATGCTTACTGCAATACTTACAAGTCCTCTTCTTCATGCAACCCTTGGATGTGTGATTCAAGCCATAGCAACTGAAGCACCTGCTGGTTTCTTTTATGTATGCCCGCCTTTCATCTAAGGATTTCTGTAGAAATGTCTTACAATCATCTAGGTCATGTGATTGCTTACAGAAATAACATCGGACAGAACTGCGTTTAGTTGTGTCAGTAGTAACTTGAGTTGCAAAAGTAGTTGAATGAGACTTGTTCTTATCAGGATGCTTATCCTTACGATTAGTGTCTTCAGGTTTGTAAGAAAGAGCCTGCTTACCAAAGGTTGGTTCATTGGCAGATCTTGCGGCAAAGTCTATGAAATCAACCAGGTCCTTGAACACAATCTCCTTTAGTTTATCCATTCTCAGCTTGGTGACACGATCCCTCCACTTGGATTGGAGAAACAGTGGTAGCTTTTGAACAATGGACTGCATATTTGGGGCATGGTTAAGAACATTCATGTGAGATATGCTTTGCATTACATGATAGCATTTGCTGAGATGAACAGACAACTGTTTCAAGCCTTTATGATCATCATTCCTCAACTTAGGCCAAGAGCGAACTTTGTTCAGGTATGCAGAAGAAACTTTATATGGATCACCATACTCCTTACAAAGCATGTCTCTTGCAACTGTGTAACTAACAGAGGTATCCATATGAATGCAACCAGAAATAAGTTCTTTTGGCTCACCGTGCAGTTGCTGGTCCAGGTAATACAATCTGTCTGCATCACTTGCTGTGTATGGGATGATCCGAGCATCAAATGCCATCAGAAATGCTGAAAACTCGGTAGGATCTCCACTGAACTTGGATAACTCTGGTTTGGGGAGAAACATAGCGTTGACCATCTGCTTCTGAGTTTCTACAACAACATTCCCAAACATTGAAGACTGACTAACAGGTGGGACAAAATATTCCTGTTGGTAATTACTTTGTTGATTCTGACCTGAAGGGACAAATACAGTTGCAGAAGGATTGAACACAGGATAACTTGACTGACTACAATGTCCAGATTCTGATACTGTTTGATCAACACTAACACTATTCACAGGTGGAAAATTGTTACAGATTGAGGCAAAGGACTAGAGAAGAACGAAGTTTGCTTTGTCTCACCGTGCTCCATTTTGATATGTTTTACCTCTTCATTGGTTCGTTGACCTTCTATCTGAGCAAACACCTTTTCCCTGGCTGTTGACTTGGCGATCTGGATGTCTAATTGAAGTTCTTTCACCTTCATCTGCGCTTCGAACATGGACTTCTCTGCACGAAGCTCAGCAAGTTTTGCCATTTCATGAGTATGTAAAGATTTGATTGAAGAGCTACGTGATGATCTTGAATTCAGAGAATGCTTTGACGTATTAAATCTTACTGAACTGTTCTTTGATACAGAATCATCTTCAACTTCATTTGTCATTTTTTTTTCAACAAACTGAATCCAACTCACCATTGTGTCTCTAAAGTTCAGGAAAGAACAAAGTTTCTCCTCAGCTCTCTTCATGACACTAGTTTTCTCATCTTCCTCAAGTTCACTGCAAGAAATATCTACACATGTTCTGTAAGAGAAAAACAAATCATTAAATCTATCAAAACCAGTTTTAACTAAATGTAAATTATCATAATTGTCCATCAAACGATCAAGTTCATTTTTCTTCTTTGTACAAGCTGAAAGAGCAGCAACAGTTTTAGTTTTCATGAAACGTAAATGTTCACTGATTCCCTTTTCTTTTAAAGTTCTCTGTTGACGTAAACGTCTACTATCATCATTCTCACCATCAAAAGGATTCTCACGGTGAAAGTTTTTCTCAACGTTCTGTCCATCAGGGACGTTACAAACATGAACACTGTCGTCTTGTGATGCCATTATCTCATGTTAGCACAACACAAGATCAAGATCACAATACTGGATCACGATATCAAATGTTCACACAAACTTCTTGGTTGACCAGTACAATCGTTGAACACTGCTGACCTTCAAATCTTCCAAGGATTGTTCTTATACAGTCAACACTGCTGGCCATCAACACTTGTACTGTTTACCTCTACAGTAGTTGAACACTGCTGGCCCTCCGCACACTCTATGAACATCACGGCGGAGTTAACGTTGATATGTTTCCTGCCTATCACGGTCTGTAAATTTTTCTAAACAAATGTAGATGCAAGAACACGAAAACTCTGAAACGCTCGCATCACAGGGAATTTATTGTCAGTGTCATATCGTTAAACGTTTCACACTGAAAGTTTCGTTTGCATCACGAACTGTTAACATTGAAATGATGCCTCCAGTGACGAAGTGACGAGGTTTAGAAAACTACAATACAAAGTAAAAGAAATTTAGTTTGTGACATTTAGACCTTAACTTTCTATATAAACATGTTTTTGACATTTCTTAAAGTGTATGCATTAATTTCACTTTTTCAACTTAAGAAGTACAATAGCATATAAATGCATTTACCTATCATCACAAAATGTCAGAAATACAAAAAGAAAACTTACATTTGTGCTCCAACATACTTTCATACAGACTGTGACAATCGGCAGGCAACATGGAGGATCACACAGCACATGTACATCTATTGCATGGGGATTGTGTGCTCACACCTGATCACATGACAGGAAGAAGTGAAACTGAGGCTTCAATATACATTTCAGATTATACAAAAAACTCATTGTTGAAACCTGGGTTTGAACTCACAACCAACAACCTTACTGGAATTCAAGTCTACATCTTTATCCTCTTGACCACAGAGAAGCATGAGAGATCTTGAACAAATTAACATCATAAACCTAATCAATAGAAAAAACTTTCATCTTGGCATATTCACTGATATTTAGGTAAACCTTAGACCCGTGTACAACAAGAATACTGATATTTAGGTAAACCTTAGACCCGTGTACAAGAATACTGATATTTAGGTAAACCTTAAACCCATGTTCAAGAAAACTGATATTTAGGTAAACGTTAGACCCGTGTTCAAGCAAACTGATATTTAGGTAAACCTTAGACCCGTGTACAAGAAGAACACAATTATTTGGATAAAAATTAGACCCGTGCACAACAAGAACACCGATATTTAGGTAAACCTTAGACCCATGTACAATCATACTGATATTTAGGTAATCCTTAGACCCATGTACAAGAAGAACACTAATATTTGGATAAAACTTAGTCCCGTGCACAACAAGAACACTGATATTTAGGTAAACATTAGACCCATGTACAAGAATACTGATATTTAGGTAAACCTTAGACCCATGTTCAAGAATACTGATATTTAGGTAAACGTTAGACCCGTGTTCAAGCAAACTGATATTTAGGTAAACCTTAGACCCGTGTACAAGAAGAACACAATTATTTGGATTAAAATTAGACCCGTGTACAAGAAGAACACCGATATTTAGGTAAACCTTAGACCCATGTACAATCATACTGATATTTAGGTAATCCTTAGACCCGTGTACAAGAAGAACACTAATATTTGGATAAAACTTAGACCCGTGCACAACAAGAACACTGATATTTAGGTAAACATTAGACCCATGTACAAAAATACTGATATTTAGGTAAACCTTAGACCCATGTACAACACGAACACTAATATTTGGATAAAACTTAGACCCGTGTACAACAGGAACACTGATATTTAGGTAAACCTTAAACCCATGTTCAATAATACTGATATTTAGGTAAACGTTAGACCCGTGTACAAGCAAACTGATATTTAGGTAAACCTTAGACCCGTGTAAAAGAAGAACACAATTATTTGGATAAGAATTAGACCCGTGTACAAGAAGAACACTGATATTTAGGTAAACCTTAGACCCATGTACAATCATACTGATATTTAGGTAAACCTTAGACCCGTGTACAACAGGAACACTGATATTTAGGTAAACCTTAGACCCATGTACAATCATACTGATATTTGGGTAAACCTTAGACCCGTGTACAACAGGAACACTGATATTTAGGTAAACCTTAGACCCATGTACAATCATACTGATATTTGGGTAAACCTTAGACCCGTGTACAACAGGAACACTGATATTTAGGTAAACCTTAGAGTCGTGTACAACAAGAACACTAATATTTAGGAAAACCTCAGACCCGTGTACAAGAACACTTATATTTAGGTAAACCTTAGACCCATGTACAAGAATACTAATATTTAGGTAAACCTTAGACCCGTGTACAACAAGAACATTGATATTTGGTGGACCTTAGACCCGGGTACAACAATATCGCTGGTAACAAGCTTTAGATTCTAAATAACGCTGAAACTTGGGATAAATTTAAACCTAGATTTAAAGAACATTCAAGATATGGGGCAACTGAAAAGTTGGTTATAGAAAGTAGAGCACCATGCACAGATGTCCGTGTCATACATACATAATAATCACATTCGTTATCGCTAGATATATCTTTTAAAATACTAATTATAGTTATGAAATGTAAGATAACACGCGCGCAGGCGTTGCAAATGAATGTTCCCGGTTTGTTTGTGAGATGCTTGGTCATGAAAAAGCTCACTGACAGGAAATGTGTTTCGGTAGAAAATACGGGTTGAAACCGGCCATGCTGACGACAGTTGGGATTCTCGCGAATTTCCTACCAATGAGAACAATGCAGCTCAACAAGTTTTCTCATAAAACCCATTTCAGTCAGTGAATATCAAAACACCTTTCTTTAAACAGCCTAATTACAAATTTTTTTTTTATTTTTTTTTCACTAAACGAAATTCTATTAGTATTCAAAGTGTCAACAAAGCCAAATAATGAATGTCATCCATGTGACGACAGGGTTACGCTGTGGGAAAACATTAAATGAAAGTAAATTACATCTACCCAGGGAGTGGCTGTTGAACAGAAGGAATTAAGCAAGGAATTTTAAAAGAATTTTGAAAAGAGAATTTCAAGATATGCACTTTAGTAGCTGGCTGTGTTCACGTGTGTTAGCATAGTAAGAAGCGACTAACGGGATCGGGTGGTCAGGCTCGCTGACGAAGGCTCTAATTTCGTGGATCGATTCTCATGATGTCAGTCACTGGATTGTCTAGCCCAGACTCGATTATTTACAGACCACCGTCATATAGCTGGAATATTGCTGAGTGCGGTGTTAAACAACAAACAAACAAACACTATATTATGCCACAAACTGGGGAGAGTACCCTGATCGTTATATCATGGTTCTGCTCGCTGTGATATGGCTGGAATATTGCTAAAACATCGTAAAACCCACTCATTCACGCATTCACTCACTCACGCACTCACTCATTAACTAGGGCTGCCGGGTAGCCTAGTGGTTAAAGCGTTCGCTCGTTACGCCGAAGACCCGGGTTCGATTCCCGACATGGGTACGATGTGTGAAACCCATTTCTGGTGTCCCCCGTCATGATATTGCTGGAATATTGCTAAAAGTGGCGTAAAACCATACTCACTCACTCACTCACTCATTAACTAACGATTCAATAAGAGCAACACATTTTAAAGTAACCGAATATTTTGTTATACAAGTATTCCTACTTCAAGTCAGAAATTATATCTAAATAGGTTATCTATAAATCTTTTCTCCGCCATAATGCATTCTGTCAGATTGCGCTCAGCTCCTTGATACAGAAATCTACATATATACACGTAGGTCGGAATTGTGTCTAATCTTAGAGTCATTTCTCCTCCCACTCATGTCCGAAAAGCCACGTGTACTGTACACCCCTAGCACCTAGGGTTTATGGCAGCTACACCTTGCCAAAACACTAAGATACTTCCTATATTTATAGCCAGGCTGTACTGATGTAGGTTAACATTGCCGACTGTACGTTACTGTAAAAGGTGACTATGCTTGTCGTAAGAGGCGGCTAACGGGATCGGATGGTCAGGCTCGCTGACTTGGTTGATGCATGTCATCGTATCCCAATAGCTTGGATCGCTGCTCATAACGTCAATCACTGGATTGTCTGGGCCAGACTCGATTACTGGTATTTACAGACCGCCGTCGTATAGCTGGAATATTGCTGAGTGCGGCGTTAAACAACAAACAAACATTAACATTTGTGTCTGCAGAAACCTGTTCCAAAGACTGCAAAACACAGACTGGGAGTCACTGAACATGGCTACCTCTACCAGTTTGAAGCGCGCCAACAGCCAGGCGATCATCACGTTGAAGACGACGCATTCCCAATCTTGTCACAAATACTACATTAAAGCCAGTTGATGACCTTTCACTGAAGTGTCAAAATCAAGAATGACCCCTACCCACGTGCGCGGAGGAATTGCAGGGTATGTGCATGTGCAATGTTTTGGGTGTGTTGAGTCGTTAGGTATTGGTTCCCAAACCATTCTATCTCTGGCAGTCATTTTTCAAAGCTGCTCTTTCTTCTTACGGCCGATCATAACATCTATGTTTCCTGATCCCCTCTTTATTTAGGCGAGTATATCTAGACCTATCTGAGATGTTACTATTCAGAGCAGGTAAGCGCCGATATGGCACAACTTCGTGCGAAACTTGCACCATTATAGCATATGCATAAGTAATGAGAAAACATTGAATATCCGAATATGTATTAATTCCAAGTGTTTTCTCACACACGAAAAAAACGAACTAAAAGACATCACTATAGAAACTCACACCTAGCATATACATTGCCCTGTTACACAACCTGTAGTAATATCATCGCTTAACATCAAATATGTCGCATTCTCGCGTTTTCGCGATATCGTGGTTCCTTTTATTGATTCTCGTGTTTTTGTACATAGATAGTACTTTTTGACAAAAGTCGAGATTGGGAGATTGCGAGATTTTACCTCATGTCCAATTGTTGCATTCTCTTGTTCTCGACAATTGACAAGAAGTACAATGTGCAAAAACACGACAATGCGAGATGGCGAGATTTTAGCCAAATCTCGCTTTCTCGCGATCTCGCATGCTCGCACTCTTGACATATTTTGACGAGCGAGTACGTGAGAATGTCCCTTATAATATTCCACACCAAGGAAATAATTTGCCAGAGGGTAGTTCCAAGGATGTAGATGAAGCTCTGGGTCATTGTCCCGTCTAATGGAACCTTATCGATGACAAGCTAAAGAAGCTGTCAACAATGATATAATTCGTTCAGAATTCTTTTCGACAACTTCTCCCCTCTCACTCAGTGGATAACCTCTCATACAGAAACAAAAATATTTTAGCTTAAGCCCCCGTCACACTTATTCGGAATCAGCAGGAATCTAGCAGAACCAGACGGAATGTAGAATTTTCAAAATACGTGCCACATGCGGGAGGGAATTTCAAATTGACCAAGATTTGTAAGAATGCCGTTCGAATACTTAGAATGCGCTTCGAACCCGCCTCGAATGATTCTTGCACAGTCCGGGTGTATCAGCTCTCGAATGCAGCTCGAATGTAGTTGTAACACAGTAGGAATATTTAGAATGCTGTTTGAATGCAGTCAGAATATTTAGAATGCGCTTCGAATATCCAGGAATAAACAAAGAATTTTCATTCCGACGGCATTCCGGCTCATTCCGCCTCTTGTGTGACTAGGGTATTATTAGATCCGATTTCACCCGATGTTCT